TAATAAAAAAAAAGTTTCTTCCAACATATTAACAAGAAAAAAGTCAAGAAAACTATAGGGCCACTAAAGAGAGAAAGCAAGGAAATAACAGGCAACAGGGAGAAAGCAGAGCTGCTTAACTCATACTTTGCATCAGTCTTCACAGAAAAAGAACCTATAGCCCAACATACCAAAAAAATCACTGCAAAAAAACAAAAATTAAAATAAGCAAGAAAATGTTAAGAGAACACCTATCCGACCTTCACGAATATAAATCAGGAAACTACAGACCAATCAGTTTAACATCAATACCTGGGAAGATCCTAGAAAAGATAATCAAAAAAAGATCTTCAAACAACTAAAAGCAAACAAAGTCATAACCAGTAGCCAGCACAGGTTTGTTAAGAACAGATCATGCCAAACCAATCTTATTTCATTCTTTGATAAAGTAACTAAATTAGTAGACCAGCGAAATGCTGTGTACGTAGTATACTTAGATTTCAGTAAGGCATTTGATAAAGTAGATCACAACCTACTCCTTGGTAAACAAGAAAAAGTTGGAATAGACAACATCACCACCAGTTAGATCTGTAGCTGGCTGACAAACCGTACTCAACGAATAGTCCTCAATAGCACTACATCCACATGGAGAGAAGTAAGCAGTGGGGTACCACAAGGTTCCGTCTTAGGCCCTGTACTCTTCAATATCTTCATCAATGACTTAGATGAGGGAGTTGAAGGGGAACTCATCAAATTTATAGATGACACCAAACTGACAAGAGAAGCCAACAGCCCAGAAGACAAACTCAGGATCCAAAAAGATCTAGACAAACTTAAACAATGAGCCCTATCCAACAAAATGATTTTCAATGTGGAGAAAAGCAAAGTTTTACATTTAGGTAGGAAAAATCAAAGGTACAAGTACAAATTGGACAAGATCTGGCTTAAAAACAGTAACTGTGAGAGGGATCTTGGAGTCCTAGTGGATGAGCACTTGACTATGAGTCAGCAGTGTGCAGCACCAACCAAAAAAGCTAATATAATCCTGGGTTGTATAAACAGAAGCATAGAATCAACATCACACAAAGTATTAGTACTGCTTTATGAAACTCTAGTAAGACCACACCTGGAATACTGCAGCCAATTTTGGTCACCATATCACAAAAAAGATGTTTAGAGTTTGGTAAAAATTCAGAGAAGAGCAACTAAGATTCTCAAAGGCCTGGAGACTAAAACATACGAAGAACGGTGTGGGACCTGGGTTTGGCTAGTCTAAAGAAAAGAAGAAATAGGGGAGACATAATAATAATAATAATAATAATAATAATAATAATAATAATAATAATAATAAAGTTGGAAGGGACCTTGGAGGTCATCTAGTCCAACCCCCTGCTCAGGCAGGAAACATGATAACAGTATTCCAGTATTTTAGGGGCTGCCATAAAGAAGAGGGGGTCATGTTGTTCACCAGAGCACCAGACGGAAGGACGAGAAACAATGGTTGGAAACTGATTAAAGAGAAGCAATCTGGAATTAAGGAGAAACTTCCTGACAGTGAGGACAATCAACCAGCAGAATAGCTTACCCCCAGAAATTGTGGGCGCTCCATCACTGGAGATTTTTAAGAAGAGACTACACAATCACCTATCTGAGATGGTATAGGTTCTCTTGCTTGAGCAGGAGACTGGGAGCTGGATTAGAAGACCTCCAAGGTCCCTTCCAGCTCTATTCTATTCAAAAGATGCTTTCAAAAGGACAAACTTCATCAAGCACAAAAGCCCCTCACAAAAAACAAGAACAGTTAAAATTCAAGCTTTGTAGCACAGGTCTATTGCTAATTGCACATCAGTTCTTTATTCTGAACATCATCTATTGTCCCCATCAATTTGACAAATTCACAGGAAGAATTAACATTCCTATTGGCGAAGCTAGAAATGCAGTGGAATCCCTTGATATTTTTAACAAATACATTATAGAACATAAATGTGCTATGCAGATAGTTGTTATACCATATTCCTGTTCACTGTTCCAGCTGGCTATATTGTTTCAGTGGTACTCCATTCCATGTTAGTGTGCTGTGTCTTTTCTTCTCAATGCAAGCATGTTCCGGCTATTAAATGACAGATTTTGAAAAGTGGGTAATTTTTTAAACTCATTTTTTTTATTTCAGTCCATTTTAAGGTTTCTTTAAGCATGCAGCTAACCCTTTTATTTCTCAGTGCCCCTACTGGGGCTAAAAAAATTACTTCTTTTCTAAATTTATTATTAGGAAGAGTTCTGATTGATGCATCTTTTCCCCATGCCACATTATATAAATTTTCCATTGTGGGTTTCCAATGACTCCTGTTCCTCTATTTAAAAGTACTCAGACTAAGAAAAATCTAGGACTGGGCAACCAGCCAACATCTGGTAATTCCCATAAGTAAAATCTTGAAAGAATGAACTCATATAGTAAATCTGAAAGCAATTTGGCGGGATAAATGGTTTGTATGAATATTAATAGTTTTGAATTCGGCTCAACAGATCTTGCAACTAGAAAGCTATGCTGCATGACCTTTCTAGCATATGAATAACAAAAAAGATTTTTAATTATACCTTCATTTTCTAATAAAGCTTGTGTTCCTAATTTTTTTTAAAAAAATCTTTTTTTAGTTCAATCCTAACTGTAGGCCATTTTAAGGATTCCAGACAACGATGGACACAAAGGACCTCCACTTAGAGCCCTTGAAATAAAACAGCATAAATTGGGACTTATGGTTACTCATAGTATAAATTTGGGCTCTATCATCACACTAGAGATAATTTGCAGCAGAGAATTTCTATGTGCTTCTTAGTATCTGCTACCTCTGTCACGGTAGGCCGGAATGTGTATGTGCATGTGCACCCTCACATAGCACTATCCATTCAAAAATACCTCACAGCAGTTTACAATACAAGCTAGACAATAAAATCATAAATTAAAAAAACAAGCCATCCATATGCAATAAAAGAGATGGGGACAACACGCCTCATGGGTCAGCCACCCCACCCCCACCATTTTGTCAGAACCAATGGAGCTTTTTGGATAAGAAGCGAAACATCTTTTTCAAGGAAAAAACAGTCCAGTTGCCTTTTGAAAGAGCCCTTTGAGATTCAGGAACTTTCCAGACCCTTCAGGTGGCCTGCCAGGAAACAGAAAAAGTAACATACACCTTTATCCTCTGCATCTTAACAGTGCAAGCCTTTCTCTAAAACCTAGAATGGGTCTGTAAATGTTGGTGGCTATCTTAGCGAGAGAAACTAGTGACTACAGAGCCATCCTTATAAAAAGGGCAAAAGCCTGCATTGCCTGCTCATTGAAACAGTTGTTTTGACATAGCAGAACACTAAAAAAAAACCGGCACAAATGAACAGTCCTTTGTAGAGCTGTTGATCACAGCATTAAAGATAGCTTACAAATTTGGGGACTTGTTTTAAACAATTAGGAACTTGATGGGTTGATTAAGTCGAAGTATTCCTCTCTGAGGATAGTTTGGAAATATGAAATATGAATAATTACATGTGTATGACATGATAGAAGAAACCTTTACCTTTATTATTCCCTAATACAAATTCGCTATTACATTTCATATACTATAATGTACTTGAAAGGGATTTTCAAACGATATGTGTAATGACTGAAAGTGCAGAATAAACACTTGTGACCACATATTTCATTTAATGCAAAGATTTGAAAGTTAAGCACACCCATAAAGTGATCCACTTGTATCTTATGACGCATCCGCTGAAGTAAGCTGCAGCTCAGGAAAGCTTATGCCTTTTAATAAAATGTGTTGATTGGAAAAAGATATTACCAGATTACTGATTTTTTTTGCACCACAGACCAACACCTATCGCCTACATTTTTATCTTCAATCTGTCATAAATCAAAAGCATGTACATTAAGTTCATTGCCATAAAGGTCAGCACTGCTAAGAGATGCCTTTATAAGTTCAAGCATCTATTCCTAGTTCACAGCTGTTTCCACATTTCCCCTTTTAAATCAGAAACATCAACATTTGTAAATGAACTTTTCTATTACTGTGTTTGCATGCCAAGAAAATCTGCATTACCTATTTTTTATGTGTAGTTATTAAAGAATAAAGATCTTACTTTTACAAAAGGTGACCACCTTACCTTGCTAACCATATTATTACTGCATTAGATTCAATGTAGAGCTAAACTCCTTATAATTATTGTTTTCTTGGAGAAAGGAATTTTGGCAGAGTCTTCCATATGACCCACTGGCTTCTATTCTAAATTCCTTCACTCACCATCTGAAGGCTCAAATTCCAGAAAGGTCACTGTGTTCCTCTTTTAAAATATCAGTGAACAATTACGAAAGAAAGAAAAAAATCTGTGAAATCTCAAATAACTGAGATTGCAAACTTAAAATATTCCCCATTTAAAGTGCTCTCCTTGTCCCTTTCCAGTTAAATAACCCCTTTTCCCCAGACAAATACTCCATTCTATTTTAAGATGCCATAACAGTCTTTGTACTTTTATCAGATTGCTCAGACTAGGCCAGATTATATTTGGCTACTTTTGTTGTGGAGTCTACATAAAGATAAGCTCCAAAGAGAGTTTATCTGATCACAAGAAAAGGACAATTGTAACTACCACCCACATTATGGTCCTTGGGGTCAGGCCTCTGACTATATAGTCTCTACTCTTTCTGAGTATAAGTTGCTGAAAACCTGGAAGCAGAGTTTTATGCCCCTTTCACTGTACAGTGAAAATGAGAGCATAATACTGAAATTGGAAAGCCAGCACACATCTGAGCTGCAAAAATCTAGACTCTCTAGAAGATAAATGCAGAAAACTCTTTGAAGACTGGATACTGCCGCTTATAAATAGCAGCCATTCATCACAGATAAGAAAAAAAGAACCCGATCCCTCAAAACCAAGTTTGAAGGGTGTCCCCTTTACTGCCCTCTGCCCCCCCCCAATTTTAAAGGAGAATCTTTTATGACTAATAAGTTGTCAGTCCTTGAAGGAACCATGCGTTAGTGTCTATTGCATTTCTTTCGGCATCCATCTGATTCCTTTGTTTTAATTTCTCCCCATCCTCTGGAGTCGACCAAACGACAAGCGGGGAGCGCATGTGACTGGGGAAGAAGGTTCTCCCACCCCCAATGGTTCTTGGTTTGAATTCAGGAACCAAGTCATTTTGGTTTCAATAACACGCTGGCCTAAAATGCTCGCTGACGAGACCCAGTCTTGCTTTGCCGCAATCATCCCCAGCGCGGTCATTCCCCAGAGCTCTGCCCAAGCCGGCGGGAAAAAGGTGCAGCCTGCTCGCTCTCTGGGTCACAATCGTAAAAGTGGTGTCTGGGCAACCGGCAGGTCTGGGCGCAGGGAGGCAAGCAGGCAACAGCGTTTATTGCGTGTCCCGCTTGCCAGCGGCTCAGTGACAGGACGGGCTTCCCCCCGTCTCCTTTCCCGATTCTTCCCTGCTCCAGAGCTATCGCTTTGCAGTCGGAGAGCCAGGCGGAGGTTGAGTTGGACTAGCCCACCCGCATGCAGTTCCCGGAACGCGACAAGAGCGCTCTCCTTCCCCCGATTAATGGGGCCGCTCCAGCTCCTCCCGCGTTCCTCCCCGGCGCACCACCATGGAGACCCAGGTCTGCGCGAACAGCGCCGCCACCGCCGCCTGCTGGTGAGAATCCTTCTCGGGCCGCCTTGGAGGGAGGGAAGAAGCGGGGCCTGCGGAGATCCGAACGCCGCCACCTGGAGTGGGTGTGCGCCTTGGCGAGCTGGAAGATGCGCCTTTAAACTCTTGAGAATACCACGAATGCTGGAGACGAGGGTAATAATAACAATAATAATTCAGTGCCTGGAGACAGCAGAATAGACAAGAAAGAAGTGGAGAAGATAACAAAATACAAAGGCCTAAAAATAGAAATAGAACGACTGTGGCAAAGGCAAGCCAGGGTAATACCAATAATAATAGGTGGCTTGGGTGCAATCCCAAAACAACTGGAGCACCACTTGAAACACCATTGGCACTGACAAGTTTTCCATTAGTCAATTGCAAAAAGTGGCCTTACTAGGAACTGCTTCCATCTTGCGACGATATCTACATCTGCCTATCCCAGGTCCTTGGTAAGGACTTGATAGGTAGACAAAAAGGCCAAATCCAGCCTGAACATGTGGTTGATTGTGTAATAATCAATAACAACAACAACAACAATAATAATAGAGTTTGAAGACACCTTGGAGGTCTTTTAGTCCAGCCCCCTGCTCAGACAGGAAACCCTATACCATTTTGGACAAATGGCTGTCCAATCTCTTCTTAAAAACTTCCAGTGTTGGAGCATTCACAACTTCTGGAGACAGGTTGTTACACTGATTAATTGTTCTAACTGTCAGGAAATTTTTCCTTAGTTCTAGGTTGCTTCTCTCGGTTAGTTTCCATCCATTGTTTCTTGTCCTGCCTTCAGGTGCTTTGGAGAACAGCTTGACTCCCTCTTCTTTGTGACAGCCCCTGAGATATTGGAACCCTGCTATCATGTCAGTTTGGCAATTCTAAGAATGGAATGGACTGAAACAAGGCCAAGGCACAAACTCCCCCACAGACTTTGCTTACTTTCTGTCTGCATATAGTCTTTTGTAACAGTTAGAGAACTTGGATTTTAAAACAACAACCATACTAAATCCACAATCTGCCAATGTTTAGATTCTTTGCGGCAGAAAGAGCCCTACGTATCTCTCAGGGCAGCGTTTCTCCAACTTGGCAATTTTAAGATGGGTGGAGCAATTCTCAGGATTCCCCAGATTCTGGAAGTTGGTCCACTCATCTTAGAATTGCCAAATTGAAAGCAAAAGTGAAAGCAAAACGATGCCACTCAGTTGCTTGTTTCACAACATAATAAGACTGGGGTATTTTGTATTAGTATGCTGCTTCTGTCGGGCTAATTGGGATTTCATTCAATAAATCACGGTTAAACCAAAGCCTAGAACAATGTTTGACATCTCTTAGTGTGATCATTCAGTAGCCCAAAATTTCTGTTGCTAAGCGAGACAGTTGTTAAATGAATTTTGTCCCCTTTTACAACCTTTCTTGCCACAGTTGTTAAATCACTGTGGTTGTTAAATTAGTAACACAGTTGTAAAGTGAATTTGGCTTTCCCATTGACTTTGCTTGTCAGAAGATAGCAAAAGGTGATCTCGTGACCCTGGGATACCGCAACTCTCATAAATATGAGCCAGTCGCCAAGCATCCAAATTTTGATTGCACATCTGGGGATGTTGCAACAGTCGTAAATGTGAAAAACAGTCATAAGTCACTTTTTTCAATGCCGTTGTAACTTTGAACAGTCACTAAATGAATGACTGTAAGCTGAGGACCATCTGTACTGTAACAGGCAAGAATTAATTGCCCAACTCTCCAGTGAAGCTCACCAGGAGTCTTTGGGGCTATTGTTTCTCAGAGAAGCCTGATAGGGAATGCCTCTCTATGTTCTTTTGAAAGGAAAGATGGAATAATAGATTCTTCAGTGATTTAAAACAGATATTTTAGGTGCTGTTCAAAACAGCAACAAAAAGCTTCATATTGCTTTGCATGATTGAAGAAGAAACCCAGAAGTCTTTTAGCAGAAGATCCTTTAAAAATAAAAAGCACAGGAAATGGGCTTTTTGAGTTCAGTACAGTGGTTGTACAATATGGACTACAGTTGAGTACACTACAGTGGTTGTATTTATTGCATTACATTTTGAAGGAGCAACTATGTAGGTCTTCCTCAGTTCCTCCTATGACTTTAAGTCTGGACAGCTCCTTCAGCAGTTGATCATTTGTGCATTCTTGTTCCTGAGTAAGCTAGATGCAGAAACCAGGTTTGTTTTTCTCTTATATAACACAGGCTTACTAAGACAGGAAAAACTTTTTGTTCTGTTGCACTGACTGTACTCATACATTGGACTAAGTGTTTAACTTTTTCCACACATTTGTCATTCAGAAGCATGCTGTGTAGTGGATGAGGCCACCAAAAAAAATTCATTTAATTTTATTTAAAATTAGGAATTATTACAGTAATATGATTGCTTCTCTGTCATGTATTTAATAATTTCCCCCTTGTGTCACATGAGCATTTACAATTTTATAAGAATTGTTAAGGGTCTTTGGGCATCATTTTCAAGGCTTTGAGGATTCCGATGTAAGCTCTGTGAATTCAGATTGTGCACCTTTGCATAAAGTTACAATGTGATTTGTTGCGTTGAACTTAAATCATTGGGGGACTTCACCCAGGCATTGGGAGTGTCCAAATCTTGTTGCTGGTTTAGAATACAATTACATTCTAACCAAGCATGGCTCCTCAAGCCATGGCGTAGTGCAATATTTGAACCAAAATATATTTTCTTGCAGTGGAGTTGACATAGTCAGCTATGAGGCCTGCATATGTGTGGCACTTTAAAGAGGGACACATTTATTGTGGCATCCTTTGAGCCATTTTCATAGCTTTTTCCTATCCCCTCCCCTCCATTTCTGGAACTGTGATGGGTATAGTTAGGAGATACAGTTAGGCATGAAAATCAGCTGGGTGACTTTGGGTCATTATCTCTCAGCCCATAACGTCAAGGTCCAGTAACAAGCCTGTCAGTCAATTTCTGATGCAACAATGGGTCAACATTCAATTGATTCCCCAAAAGTGGACCCTGCATTTGTGAAAAAATGCTAGAAAGAAATATGAATGAATGAATAAATGAACGAGCTTCTGTCACTTTGATGAAGAGAAGAAAGCCTCTGTGATACCGTTACTTTAAAACAAGTCAGGCGAGAAGCCTGAATGTTGTGTGGTAAAGGTTCTATAATTGCCAGTTGGTTATGAGAAACAAAAAGAAATGCAGAAAAGAGATTTTTTTCAATTTGCTAAACTGTAAGTGTTTTCTTTTTTCTTTGGAGATGATAGGTAAGTTATTACTGTTATAAGAAGCTGTTCAATTATTATTAATAGTATGATGAAAGTAAATAGTACCTTTGGGTGGGAGAAAAATGAACTGGATAAAAATTATAATGTGGAGACAGATACTGTATCTTTGTCTATCAGAGACCTGATTCATATTCCCCACCCAATTTGCCATTTACTTTGATAAGTAATTCCCATTGATGCCAAGACTTTTGTTGGTTAGTAAGACAAGAAACTTTAGGGACTATGTAAAATGTCTAGCGCTTAACAGATACTGTTTTTAGTAGGTAGACTAAAGTGGGATCCTTATGAATCGACAATGAAACATGATTTTGTCTTTAAATCTACAACAGACCCTGAAGCAGATTGGTAAGAATATACTAATTTATTTTTTTTAAACTTTTTAATTATGTTTGGTTTATTGACTTCTTTTGAAACATTCTCATTTTCTTTTATTAACCTGTTCCTTAAACGTTTATGTTTTGTTTTTCTGGTGGCATATGAAACTAGCTTTAAGACTGGCTATGTTTTATGTGTGCTGGAGACTATTTAGATTGAGAACAAAACAATTCTATTTTATTTTATCTATATTTTCCCACCAAACTAGTGGGTAATTGCAATTCCCACCCATCTTAAGCTTTTAAAATAGGTTAAATTAATATTTTCAGAATCCAAACGATACATCCCTCATGTTTTTTTAAAGTGGGTTTAAGCCACATCTCTTCTGAAGAAAAATATGCCAGATAAGTTTCTAGTTTAGAACCAGTTCTAAGCAAGATTGCCATGCTCATTTCTTGCCAAAGATTATCCTCTCACATCTGCTGTTTGTCATGATAGATACAGTTTACTTCAACCAAAAGTCCACATAAAATGTAATTTCCCCTCCTGTAAATTCAGGGTATGTTTTTTTCAAATTTTCAATTTTCAGTCAGAATTATTTTTCTGGAATAGAATTAGCTAGTTTAAGCATGTAAATTACACTGTGGAGGTAATATCAAAAACGCATAATGCTCTTCTAGATCCTTATGACCCAGATGTGCCTGGAAATGAAGTCCTTACTTCTTAGTGGAACATATTTTGTTTTGGATTGACAATTTAGCCATGAATATTGATTCTAAACTTCCTCTTGAGACAGAAACATCCTCAGTTTATGAATTTTTCCATGATACACATTTCCAGAATCTGGATCATCTTATTTTCATGTAATATGCCATTAAAACTAGCATCAGCTAGATTTTTAACATTCAGCCCAAATAACTTTTTATTACTGTGAATTGGTATTCAGTATCTATAGTATTTTTATATAATTTATTGCAGATATATATAGGTATAAGAAAAATTGTAATATGTCATACAAACTTTCCAGTATATTCATAGGTTTACCAATTTCCCAAGTGGTCAAAAGTTCAAAGTATGGGCTACCTAGATTTATTTCCTTTGGAAAAGAGAGATATTTATACCTAGAAATAGACTATAAATAAATCAAGTAGGATAGTCAGTTCTAAATTTGTTTTCTAGAAGATATATATCTCATGAAAATATGCTTTTAGCCTTCAACTAATTCTCTGCCCATTTGAAGATTTTGTTGCTATAATATATATCAGGTGTTGTTGATATAAAGCTAAAAAGACAGACATTGGCTATTTTATTGCCAACGTTTTGGCCTCATTGATAAGGTATCCTTGTATCCTAATGGCTAGTCACACCTTAGAGGACACTGTTTCAATAAATTATCTACTACCAAGTAGAAACCATAGAATAAATCTACTGTGCTAGCCATTCTCTGCCTTTAAGAAATTCCCAATACAAAATCCATTGTTGTAATAAGTTTTTCCTATTAAAACTCTGTGTCAACAAAATTACATTTTTTTAAAAATTTCAAGGCTGGCTAGAAAAAAATAAAATCATAGCTGCACATATATATATATCTATATATATATAGATCACTAAACCAAGATTTTCTAATCTAGGGTTTGCTAAACAAGACCAGTTCAACACAATGCTGAGCTAGATGGAAATAACCTGTATAATGGCTTAGCATTATATACAGCCCAAGTATTACATAACCCTTGATTGCAGATCTTATGATCCATATGTGAATCTGCTATAGAAGAGAAAGAAAGAATGGTTCACCAGTCCTGCCAATCATTTGTTTTACTACACAATCTATCAAGAGACCTCTAGGTAGGACAGAGATTCATTTAGTCTAGCACTCTGTTCCATCCAATTCTACCCTTTGTATTGCAAAAATAGTTTCTTTTATCAGTTTTGAATATTATTGTATATCGTTTCATGGGTCTGTCCATGTTCTAACAACTCCTCTTTTTTACAGCATATAATTTTATAGATTACAGTTTCCTAACTTGCCTTTATCCCAAGTTAAAAAGTCCCAGTTATTGTCATCCTTTCATAGTCTGTATTCAATAATTCCCATTGATTCTCAGTTGATGTCAGGGTAGTTGTCATGGTGTTATATTTCCTGGATCATGGTCATCTGGTTTGCAAATATTTCATCCTTTAGCCCAGTTGCCCATGGCCATACTGAATGGGAAATCCCAACACACCAGGATAGTTAGGTTGGGGAATGTTAATGAAAACAATAACAAACTAGATAAGTTTATGGTATCATCAGTTTCTTATGAGGCTATTTATTTAATAAGAACTCATATGATGTTTAGATATACTTTATGGAAAAATGATGTTGAGTAGAATTAGAGATAGCTGTAGGTTCAGGTAGTTAAGAGATAACAGGTGTGATTGCATTGTCATTGACATTGTCTTGTTTCTTGCAGTGCTAGAGCAGGGACAGGACACGTCATTCCCTTTCAAGTAGATGAACCAACTGCAAAAAGTATCTACAAAGATGAATTCTGCTGGAAGCCATATTCCAAGGCAGAGCCTATAACTAACGGGTTTGTGACAGTAAAGGACAGGAACAATCCTCAGCCTGGAGAAGTAGGATTCAAGTTATGGTTATTTCAAGAACATCTTACTTATGCTTCATATTTAAATTTTTGATGATTTTGGATATATGATAACTTGGTTTTGAAATCATTGTTCAAATATGATATCATGGGAAAGGAAAGGCTTAGTTATGAGAAATACTTAATAGAGTTGTGAAAAGCATTTGAAATATCTTTGACGTGTTAAAACAACTGGATCTGCTTACAGGCCAGGCTTATATGCTTCAAAGACTTCCTTGTTTTCTGCACTTAAATTTGCACCTACAGAGAACACTTCCACTGAACTGAAAAGTGCCAGTAGAATGAAGTGGCTGTATACACACATCTATCTGCATCTAAAGATGTGAACAATATGCAAAACAGCCATGTTAGCCTTGCAAAGGATGCAGCTATTTTAATAGCAGGCTCCACTCTTGCTATTACATTTTGCATAGAATTTATTTCTATTGCTTTGCATTGCCTTAATTTAGTGTCCAATTTTATATGTATTTATTTATCACAGAGTTTTATGGCGTCTAATGATATTTCCACCAAAGGAGACAGGGGCAGTTGTAGAGTTTAAGTAGGGCAGGAAAGAAGCTAGAAAAGCTTTTTAGAAACAAGATTCTCTGCCTAAAAAAAGTCAGTGGCCTGAAATTGCTGTCCTAATACATATGTGCTCAGTTGGACACTAAATTAACTATTGCAGAGAATTTGGGAAAAAAATCCCTAGGTGATCGAAAGGCCCTACTCAAAGAGCATAGGATATGCTTCAAATGCTGTGACTCTATAGATCACATGGCTTCCAATCACACACTGCTTCTTTAAGTTGTTCTATGCTGCTGATGGTTTCTGCTTTGATGGTGTCCAGCCACCGTGTTCTTTGTCAGCTTTTTTTCCTTTTACTGATAAAAGGAAAAAGCAGTTCAGAGTTATGGAAGATATAAATAATATTTATGATCACAGGCATCTTTTAGAAAGATAGCAAAAAATTAAAATACTGTAAAAAGACATAATTAAAAGCACATTTGGATGGATTCTTTAAAAAAAAATCGAAGTTTTTGTTCTTTATCATTTTCTTCTTTCCATTTTTCAGCGTTTCCTGATATGGCAACTGCCTCGAGAAGAAGCAGCATTACCTACAGATAGCTTTTCACCATGGACAAAACCTTTTAGTAAACAAGATTTGGAGGAGGTACTAAAGAAGCAGTACAAAACAGTATACACAAGAGATTATTTAGGAATACAGCCAGGTGAACATTGTGCTTCCGTCCTTCTCTTGAAACATGTAATGAAGTACACATGAAAAGCTTTGACTAATAGCTGAAAATATCACCAGAAAACTTTCTGATTAAAATATTAGTAGGAGATTATAAAAAGTAATCGCACACTGAACTCCAGCCAGGGTGTAACCTTGGAATACTTGAAAACTAGAGTTCTTGGACAAGGTCATGCATTAAACATTTATAATGTGAATCTGGGATGAAATACATGTGGGGTATTTGGTAGGGTACCATCATTCAGTTTGAGCCTTGGTGAGATCAATAGGATTTGCTTTCAAGTGTTTCTAAGACTGCAGAAAATAATTTTCTGCTCTTTGCTTTTCACTTAATACCCCTTCCCCATCCCTTTCACAATAATACTATTATTAAATCTTTTCAGGTGCTCCAAGGGATGATGTTGCTCTCCCTCCAGATTGGAAAACATTACTGCCAAAGCCACCAGATACTGAAGTCAGGCGCCATTATCAGCCACAAATCTATGCACCTGAATTAATGGACTTCACTTGGAAATACGGATGTAATGCAAAACGTAAAATTCCGGTCAAAGGTGCTGGTAAGCAGTGTTTTTCTACAGCAGCTGAACTATATGGTGTCATAAATGAACTATGCAGGTTTTTTCTTCCATTCTTAGAGTTTTCTTTCCAGCTCCCAATGATCACAGATGTGGTGGACAGAATGGGCAGGGATCAGATTTTTAGGCTAATGTTCAATATGTATAACCTAAGGTGTGAAATAGTTCTATGTTAAATTTGATGGACTCTGCATGAGCCATTTTGTCCCTTATTGTAATAAAAGGAAAAAAAGAGAGAAATGATTTAATCAGATTTGTCACCAAACTTCAGGAGACACAGAATAGGTGCTGTGTGGAGGGTGGGGGAATAAGCATATGTGCTCCAGCTCTGAGCTAAAGAATGCTAGTCACCATCATGTTGCAAGTATTCCTACTCTCCTGGCAGAAGATCACCAGTCCATCACATTGCTCCTCATTCTCCCAGGCATCTTCTCCTCAAATTACTCTAAGAGTATCATTCTTAAGGGAACTAAAGTAGCACTCTGCTCAGTTTTACAGTGGACAAATACAGTTTTAGATTCCCACAGATTCAAGGCCTATAATTGTAAGAGAAGAGAGTGCATATGGGCAATAACATGCCACTTCTTATGAAGGAGGGGCATAGGATTTTGTGACATGGAGAAACAAAGACAATACTCAGTTTTGTTGCTTTCTAGTTTGACGTGATTGTTAACTGCTTTGCCTGCACAGTGCCTTCAATGACAATTGCTCAGATCTGGAATCATGAACATAGCAAACATCTGTCCACCTATCAGAAGGATTTTGGAAATGATTATCTTGATATCCTATCAGTTCTGAATTCCGTAGATCCAGAAGAAATTAAAGAATATGTGGAAAGAGCTCCTAAGCCAGGTAGATGATACAAAAAAAGAATTTTGTATAGGATTTGATAATGTTAAATATGATAAGACTTTGTGTTTGTCCTTTTTATTTACATAGTAAGTTTTTAAATTGTTCCATTTGCAAAGTTTCTCTCAAGCCCTGGATCTGTTGCCCACCTAAGTAAACCTAAAACATACAAGGTAGGAGACAACCATATTTTAACATGGCCCAACAAATGAATATTAAGAGTGTTAAAAGGTAATTGTTTATATTAAAAGCTGTTCACCATTTTCATATAAAGTGATGTGAGACATCAGAATTAAGATTTTGAAAGCATTGATTTTAAAATAATGTTTGAGTTTGAGTTTTGCAGATGTCATCTGGTTGTTTGGGAATGGTTCTTCAGGCATCTTCAGGATTATTAATTCCTAGTATACTTGAGCAGCAATATCTAATTATTCATATTAATTTAATTCTAAGATCTTAGTGATTTTTCAGGAAATGAAAAACAATATTAGCATCTGGATCACTTGATACATGCAGGTCAGTGGAATCATCTGACCTTAGAGGAGATGTTGATTGCCAAGTGAACAGAGAGTAATGGATCTGGAAAGAGACCGATGGCAGATCCTGTTTGGAAGTATGGATGTCTGTATGCCTGACAATCCGAAGGCCTTTAGTGCATATAAAAAAAATTGAATTAATGTGAGAAGTATTACTTTGTTATAGCTCTCCACTGGACCTTAGTGAGTCTCAAACCTTTAGATTATTACAGAAATTTGGGTAGTAATGTGTGTTGGCTGAGGGCAGGGAATAATGGGCAATGTAGTAAATGTGGGAATACAATTTTATAATTTGAGCCCTTTCCTTCTTTGATTTAAATTAAACTGTCCTACTGATATAATTGACTTTTAATAGAAATCTCACTGTGACAAATACCATGATTAGAGGAATAATTTTCGTAAGTACCACAGCAAGAAAAAAAAAGTGTTAATCCTTTCTTAATCATTAATTCTTGTCAACTCTTCCTCAGTAATTTGCATTTTTTTAAAAAAATGTATTAAATACAGAGAGTTATTTTCATATGACATCTAGGCAAAGCTCTGACAACCAATCCATACTCCAAATGAGAAATAATTAATAGCATTTACTGTATTTTGTCTGGTTCTTCAGGTGTAAGTGATAATCTTCTTTCCATTTTTCTCCAGAAAAAAAAATCCTTCAGAATTTTCTTGATAGAGTCAGTGGAGACAAAATATTACAAAGACCTTCCTCATCAAAGAAGTCAGAAGAAAATCCAATCAAATGCATCTGATACTTTTCAGAAGAAATTTCATCAATATTGAAGGGTGGCTGTTTCAAAGTTCAATATCCGTATGATCTGTCTTAATAGTAAACCATTTGCAGACTACTTTAACTTTTCTTATACTTGACAGTTTCTTTAGAAGTCTTAAAAGACTGCAGTGGCATTACTAGTTTTCTAGCACTGACAATATAATATGAATTGAAGCAGTTTTCAGTTATTATTATCTAAGACATGGTATGCTTGATATATTGCAGATCAAATCTCTTAATCAATTCCAGTTGCACTGGGGATTAATTTTCATCCTGCTTTGAGATTATATTAATTTGTCAAATACCTTTGTTTGACTGACATAATGTACTGACATAATAATCAGATACTTTAATTGGGACTCTAACCTTACAGATTTAATAAATGGATGAGTTTTAGTTGATAAATTGCTTGTTTTTTTGCAACCTGATATCCTTCCAATTATGCTAGGGTTGCACCTCCTAGAATATCCAGCCAAAATATTGATTCCAAAACAGTTGAAAATCCCCCAAAGATAAAATTAAACAATTGCATTTGCATAGGTGAAATATAGAGGCACAATTAAATCATTAAATTTGCACAGGTAAAAGTAGGACGTGTCATCTTAAAAGAACCATCTCAGAGTATGAAAAAAGCTGATTACCTGACATTAGGTATTTACATATTTTCTGTAAATATTTGTCTGGTTAAGCATTAACATTTGGTCAATCAAATACTTCAATGAACCTCTTTATTTCTTTGAAGCCATATTTTTACATGTTGCTAGATAAAGATCTGTATTTTTACATATTAATTATGTTCATTGCTTTATAAATCTGGTCAGAAACAAAAAAAAAACCAGGACAAGCTGATTAGAAAATATTTCTGTTGTATATGTTTATTTTATATTATTTTTGGTCAATTCAGTATTCAGTTACATTAAAATCCATAAATACATCCAAGGCCATGGAACAGTTAGAGGGGGAAATTAAGGCTCACAATCCCTTGCACACTTATTTCAAAATAAGCCTGCTGATTGTGCTATTGACATTATGATAGAATGTATAATATTCCTGCTGTGCTTTATAACAGCCTAATCAAACCATATGCAAATTAGGAGAATGTTTATGGAAACACTGCTTTTCAGATACAGCTGAGTACGTGTATGAGGGTAGGGAAGGATAAAGATAAAAACCTCTGCTCTTTAGTGACATCAAATAGAAGTGCAAGGAATTAAATATAAAGACAAAGCTAATACAGCTGCTTTGCTGCAGTGCAAGAGGGATATTACCCAGTTGCTTTAATACATTTAGGAAAGCTGGTTTGGTGCAATGTGCTCCTTTCAAATGTTTTGCATAGCTCTAGAACAGTGGTTCTCAACCTTTTTAATGCCGCGACCCCCAACCGGTCGTAAGTCGAGGACTACTCAACTGATCGTAAGTCGAGGACTACTCAACTGGTGCAGCACCGTTTGCAGAATGGGACTTTTGGCGGGCTCAGCAGGGGAGAGACAGCCTGGACAATTCCTACTGGCTTTTGAAAGCCAATAGAATTAGACTCTATTCAAGAGAGTCTATTCTATTGGCTTTCAAAAGCCAATAGAATAAAAGGGAGTAGCACAGTTAAGGAAAAGGGAAAAAAAATGGCAGACTGCGTTGTTTGGCGACCCCTGTGAAATGGTCGTTCGACCCCAAATGGGGTCCCGACCCACAGGTTGAGAACCACTGCTTTAGAAGATGCTGCTAGGAATCAGTTGCCCAATTAGTGCACTTCAATCCTAGCATAATATAGCCTGTTTAATTTTGGCATCAGGTTGTGAAAACCAGATAGGTTGGTTTTCAAAACTGTGGTTTATGATTTAATGTTTTGTGTAGATGAAGTTTGATTTCTACAACTAAGTTTAACAATCCTAGATTTGAATTATGTGTGGACCCAACCAGTGGTGTCTCTAGTAAATTGTCAAGGCATCTGACACAGGTACATAGGTTGTGGCATTTGTGTGATTACATCATCATCATGTATCACAGAAATTTGTCTGCATAGTTTCTTGCAGGCACCACTAACTGTATTCACATCCTTAGCTTCTTAGTAAAAAATCTCTAGATGTATTGGTCAGCAAAGAAGATATCTAAATATCTTCTTGAATTTGACTTGACTTTAATATATTTGTTCTGTAAACAAAACTCTACAGATTTATATTTGTATTTGTACCTCTTTCACAACATGAGTAACAAAATATTTAATATTTTATGTATATGCTAAGCTGAAAAAATATCTAATAAACATTCAACATTAGACATCACAGAAATTTATTAGAAATTTATTATTAGGCCCAGTATTCTTCAACATCTTCATAAACAATTTAGATGAGGGGATAGTGAGGAAACTCATCAAATGTGGAAATGACACCAAGCTAGGAGGAATAGCAAACACTTTTGGAGATAGGCTCAAGAACCAGAAAGATCTTGACAGACTTGACCACTGGGTCCTATCCAACAAAATGCAGTACAGTGGTGAAAAAGGTAAGGTTTTTCATTTAGGCAAGAAAAGCCAAATGCACAAGTATAGAATAGGTGGTACCTGGCTCAACAGCAGTAACTGTGAGAGGGATCTTGGAATCCTAGTGGACTGTGAGCCAGCAGTATGCTGTAGCTGCCAAAAAAATCAATGCAGTCCAAGGCTGCATCAACATGTAGTCCTTGCCTTACAATCATTTGTTTAGTGACCGTTCAAAGTTACAACAGCACTGAAAAAAGTGACTTCTGTTTTTCACTCTTAACGACTGTTGCAGCATCCCCATAGTCATGTGATCAAAATTTGAATGCTTGTCAAGTGGCATGTATTTATGATGGTTGCAGTGTCCTGGGTTCACACAATCACCTTTTGTGACGTTCTGATAAGCAAAATCAGTGGGGAAGCCAGAATCACTTAACAACTGTGTTACTAACTTAGCAACCTGCAATGATTTACCTAATACTAAGAAAGGTTCCAAAAGGGAGCAAAACTCACTTAACAGCTGTCTTGCTTAGCAATAGAAATTTTGGACTCAATAGTCGAGGAATACCTGTATCAAGATCACATGGAGTATTAGTACCGCTATATACTGCCTTGGTAAGACCACACATGGCATACTGCGTCCAGTTCTAGTTACCACAATACAAAAAAGGTCTTGAGACTGGAAAGAGTGCAGAGAAGAGCAACAAAGATAATTAAGGGCTGGGGGCTGAAATTTAGGATGAACGGTTGCTGGAACTGGGTATTTCTAGTCTAACAACAAGAAGGACTAGGGTTCACATGATAGCAGTCTTCCAATATTTGAGAGGTTGTCACAAATAAGGGGGAAACCTACTCTCAAAAGTGCCTGAGTGCAAGACAAGAAGTAACAGATGGAAACATATCAAAGGGAAATCTAATCTAGAATTAAGGAGAAATTTCCTGACAGAACAGTTAATCAGTGGAATGGCTCGCCTTCAGAAATTGTGAGTGATCACTGGAGATTTTTAAGAGATTGGACAGCCATTCATTTGAAATGGTATAGGGTTTCCTGCTTGAGCAACTAGAAAACCTCCAAGGTCCCTTTCAACTTTTTTCTGTTACTCTATTAAAATCATTTTTCAGAGTATTTTTAGATCAAATGCCTTTAAGCTCAACTGTTTACATTTTTCACTACAATTCTTACACAGATTTATTAAAGATTTTAAACATATAAAAGAATCTTAAAATAATTATGTCTGTTCTTTTAAATTTTTAAACTATTCTGTCTAGAAGTCTTCTATGAATCATTTTGGAATTTCTCTACATGTTTTTGTTTAATCTGAAATGCAGGAAATAATACTTGAGAAAAGAGGGGAAAGCTTCAAAGCCACATTCCTATGTCTTGTGTAACCCAAAAGAGAAAAGGACATTCTGGAATCACTTAGAGCTATTTTCATATTTGTGTTCCAGTTAAAAGATTCTGAGCTTACGAGGCATTTGATTTGTGTACATGTGTTTTGTATACATAACCATGTGATTTGTAGCTTTTTTTATAGTTAAAAAAAGAAAGCACTCAGAGAAAAGGCATTTTTTCACAAGTATTTTTCATTGGCATAAAAATTATTTTTTCCCTTCATTGGAGTGGGAGAGGTCCAAAAAGTCAAGATGAAAGCCACAAATATTGACTGAAGTCCTGCTGCTTTTTATATAGGTCACAACGCTTAGAGAAGGGCTTTGTATCCTTATGACCATCATTTTTATGTGTTTGACCCCTCATGTGAACACCCCTTTTTTCAACTCACTTTTTTGATGGCATTGTTTAAGTAATGCAAACCTGTCAGATCTAATCAGATAGAAACAATTGGGGAAAGGTGGTCCTACAAGTATCCAGTCCCCAGACTATGAAGGACTTTATAAATGACCAACAGCATTTTTAGTTACACTCATACTAGTAATCTTTGCAGTTTGTGAACTAGCATCATTACATTAGTGTACCGTGACACATACATTGGTCCACTGTTGCATTCTGGATCACTTGTGCAGACCATGTATAAAGTTCAACCTTTGCTATCTTTAGCCAACAGAGTAATATGCAGCACAACAAACAGTTTCACATCTGGATCAAGAGACCATTGGATCCAAACTGAATGCAGTGGGAGATCTGAGGAAAGATGTGAAAAAAATGGTACCTGAATATTTCCTGGAGTTCTTCTTGAAACTTGTCATAATTTTAAGAAATATATGTTCTGAAATACATATGACATGTGACAACTCCACCAGGAGCTAGGACTATTCTTAAGCTTTGCCTCTTTTGATGTTTGGGGACTTAAGGGAGGTGCAGAGTTTGCAGTAACCTGAGCATTGCAGACAGACTTAGCAGCAGGTTCCAGGCTCCTGAACAAAAGTCAGCACAAGTTGTTGCCTTATGAACAAGAAACAAATCCAAGATTTCAGCTATTGGCATTAGGAAGACAAGGATTCAGCTTCCATAATGCCTCTGAGGAAGAAAGTGAGACCAAGTTCTGCTTCTGGGAAGTTAGAGACCTCCATGCTGACTAGGTAAGGGGCAATAATGGAAAGGAAGGTGTTACTTCTCTATACATTAAACAGAAACACATTGCTGCCTTTATTTATTTTTCTTTCAACACGAAACAAGATTTAGCTGTAGCTGCCAAGGCAGGCATGTTTGGAAAGCTTTTGTGGTTGTCAAGGAACCCAAGCTGCTGGAGTTTGGCATTTGTTTTCCTCCTTGTGTAAGAATTATAATTGTCTATGCCTGTCACTATGGTTTCTTTACTTAGCAATGGTTCCTCCACAGTTCTATCTTGTCAGGAATTCAGCATGTATAGCTGACCTGTGGATTTAGCTTCAGTGAAAAGTGTGAACATTTCTTAGGCAGGATGGTCTGTTAGCTCTTTTCTTGGGAAGATGCAGTGTATTATAATCATCTTCAGTCTCCTGGGGAGTTTCTGATGGCATAACCTAAGACTTACTCTCACAGGAGAAACTTAAGAATACTGTGTTCCTGCAAAAAAAAAAAAGCTTGTTAAATTTCTGACATGTTGTTGATTAAATTCACAGAGCAGAGGGAATATTTTTAATATCATTTAATATAACTTTGGAAGGATTCTTGCTAAGAGTACACTTCTGAGCAAAAGCACTTTTTGTAGAAAGGACAATCTTGTTCCTTTGTATACTTTATTTCAGTCAGGAGTGGCAGGAATAGATCATTGATCTATCACAATTTTCTAGGACAAGAAAAAAAACACTGAAGTATGGACAGAGCCAGTTATTCAGTCACACAATCTTATCCATTGACAGTTTGCAATAGGTGCAACATGCTGTATGCTCTAATTTTATTTAGTCATTCATTCTTTGCTCGAAAGGTCTCAGGGTCTCACAAAACTACACAGAAAACAGGCATATTTAATGGCTACCTTTAAAAACTCTGAACCTTCACCATTTCATTGATGGAGAAGTTCAGTAATTTTCTAAAACTCTTTTAATTAACAGAAGGGCTAAATAAACATCCCCTAATATTTGAATTATCCTCTGCCTTTCAAAAAGGGTAAGCATTTCTCCTTCAAAAACCACCTGATATGAAATGTTATGTTACTAATATAATATTTTGCAGAATTTTGCTAAATCACCAGTTTTGATATATACATCCTAAGAGTTGGGCTTTGTCCCAAGGTTACATTAAGTTTCCTCTGTTCTTCTGTATATACATAATTATACATTCCTCTATTTACAAAATACCCTGTTCAATAGCTATTCTCAGCCAGAGATGCTCAACAACCAATAGAAGACAATATACATAGCTTATATCATACTCAACTCTATATCATGCTCAACCATGTCAAGTCCAAATATCCAGTGGAGTTCATTGGATGACTTTGAGCCAGTCAGGCCTCACAAGGTTGCTTTGATATGGATAAAATGGGACAATTACCTTCCCATCCCATCCCAGTTACCAATCTGCAAGAATAAATAAAACAATATAGAATGATTATGTCACATATATGTAAATCACAGCTTAGCTTTTATATTCTTACTAGTGTTGCGACCAGATGTGCTTTAGTTAATCAGAGTGAGTGAGAACTTTTACCATATCGGCCTTTTTTTCAAAAAAGGAATCACAAATCCCTTTGATAGTAATAATATAAAAAATATACCAATCCATCCATGACATTAAACTCAAAGGAGATTTTTCCTTTTAAAATCATTTCTATATAGTGTAGTTCAGGGGTCTTCAAACTTGGCCTTTTTATGATTTGTGGACTTCAACTCCCAGAATTCCTCAGCCAGGCGTGCTGGCTGAGGAATTCTGGGAACTGAAGTCCACAAGTCATAAAAGGGCCAAGTTTGAAGACCACTGGTTTAGTTTATTGTATTTTCCAGGATATCTGAATAATATCTAGTAGGGAAATACCACGGAGATGTTTTAGTAAAGATCATGTCATTTCAATTAGCTTAAGTGTAACCAAGCAACATTGAAGAGTAAACAAAACAGGAGAACAGTGTTTAAAACTATTACTCACCATAAAACTATAGTGTATGTTTATTTTGGGGTTGGCTTTCAGCCAGATAACTGGCTTATGCATTTAAAAAGGATCATCTAAGGAAACCATAGTCAAAACTAAAGAGAATTCAGCCCATTCCTCCATACATCATTTTATTTGTTGTCATATGTTTATCCATTAAGAAAAGCATGTGATCTGGGAAGCCAGGAAACATATACTCTATCCATTGTGCTCTACTGTTTTCTAGTGGAGGTGGATGTACTAAAGATATAGGCTTCCCACATCATTTGGGATGCAATCTGTAGCTCCACAAAGCCTTTGGAGCAATCCTAAGGGTCCAAATTACTGGCAAATTGTAATAGTCAATTGTAATAGAAGAGAAAAAATATTAATTTCCCAAGGAATTCTGACATCCAGTGGGCAGCTGGATACCAGTAGTTTTATATAAGATTCAAGATAATAAACATATTCATAGAGCAAAAAGGGCAATAGTTTATTGAAGTAATATAAATTACAGGAGAATGTATACTTAAACATCCTTTCTGCAGATAAAACTTTGAAAAAGATTGTAAGTGAACCCCATCTTGGGCCAGCTGGAATATAGACCCTTCTCAGTCATGTCTACACCAAGTCCCCATCCTATTTGACTTCTCTTGGCTTAAGTAATTTTATATAAATGTATGAAGTTGGTCTGTTTTAGCTCCTGAAGATGCCTGCTCAGGAATGTCTCGTCCTGGAATTCAACAACTCAATTTCCCTTTTGAAAAGTTACTCTTATACTCAATTGAGAGATAAGATTGGGATAAATAGCATAAGTTTAGAACAGAAGGTGCACATGCATCAAGGTCAGTACTGTAAATATATTTTTTTTAGAAAGAAAAAGTAATACAGAGTACAGAAGTAAGCAAGTCGTATAATATTGGATGATAAAAAATAATGTGAAATTTATATAAACCAGGAGAAAAGTGGATGATGTCATTATGTCTCCTCACCATTTCGTTTGCATAATAATTACTATTATTATGAACTTATTAAAATATAGCTTAATTAATAAATTATAGCCTAACTAACTCTATATGATTAATTCAATTTTATTTTACTTATATCACCATCATTCCATTCCTGGTTGTGATCATATCTGGAAGCATAACTGTCAGAATGCCACTTAAAGATCAAGTATGACCCTTGACATAAAAACATTTCTGTTTACCATGCTACCCTGCATATAGCCTGCATTGTGCCCTTGCAAGCTGAAGATCTTTTAATATCTGAGCAGAAGACTTCAGCATCAGGCAAAAGCTATTACAGAGTGGATAAATCCTTTGTCTCTGATCTAAATGCACACATTTCTGGAGGATATTTCATGTTAATCCTGCAACCAAAGAGAGCAAGAGCTTTGAAGCACCATAAAAATTAAGAAATATATAATGAAAGAATGATAGAGTTGAAAAGGAGAGTTTAGGTTATTATGTCCAATCCCTGTCAATAGGTTCAAGTGGTTGGAGAGTTGGTGGGCAAATGCACTTCAGTTGGGATGGGTTGGGGGACATAGCAGAAGAAATTGGGTGAGCCATTTCAGCAAAAGGAAATACTCATGGCTTTGCAGCTATATTCTTCAGATAGAATTGACTCAGTCCCAAGTTAGGGTGTTAAGAGTACACACATACCTAATCATCATGCTTTGCTCTGCTCTGCAAGATCAGGGACATGTATAAAAGAACATGTGGTAGTATTTGCCGTCTATGGAATATTGTATCCTCAGAATATTCACCTCATTCCCCCTGTTGAAACTCAGATAGTCAGCCAAACTGGAGCTCTTTCATAGAGTTGTTAATGCATAATTGTATGGTTTGGGGATGCTGTGTTGGTTTTTAGGTTATGTATTTAATTGGATTTTTATGAATATTCTTGTAATCACTTACAAAGTAAGTGATTTCCAAAACTGTATACAGTATAAATAGATAGACAGAAATTCTTAGAAGTGTCCATAATGAAGCACCTTTCTTCCTTCTTCTTCCTTGTCCTTCTTGCTTGCTTTGTTATCTGCAGCTTTAGTCCAAATTTTAGAAAGTCACTTCACCTTTTAATACTTCTGGCATCTTTGTTTGTTAGTAGAATAACTGTATTTTGTGGCTAAAAAACCCATCTCATTGTGACAAAGAGAATGAACTCTAACCCCAGTCTGGAACCTTACTTCTTTTGTTACTATTATTCCCCAAACTGGTTAATAATGAACGAATAATAATACCATTTCCCATATGGTCACCTTCTTTTTTTCTGCTTGGACAGCATTCTGAATGAGCTAACAGAGCTGACATCAACAAAAGACTCTCTGTTTGGAAGGGCGCAGACTTCATTAGGAGGCCCCAAATTGCAAACTGCCTCTCCAGTTTCTATTGGCAGCTTCTCAGAAGGCCAAAAGAATATTCCCAGACCTCCAGAATGGCTGGTGAGGGAATTGCTGAAACGGCAGCAAAGGAGTCACTCCATTGGACTCATGGAAAACATCTCAGAGAGCGAAAGTATTCACCACCGTGCCGATTCCTCCCGAAGTCACTGGAAAGGCAAAGTATAACACATTCTCTTGTTGGCTTTAGTAAGGATTTTCCAGAGTTAAAGACTATGAAGGGTTGTGTAAAAGATTATTCAAATGTCCTTTGTACAGAAAGCATCTGCTTAGAAGTTGTTTATAAGTCAGGTGAAAACTGAGGCACATATTTTTTGTCATGCTATACATTTTTATCAGGTTATTTAGGACTGTAGCACACATTTCAGTCTCCATGGAGATGCCACAGAACTGGCACTGCAGTCTGTTCAAAACCAACCACTGAAATGTAAAGCAAAGATATGGGGATTCATATCTATTTTTCTACTTAAAGATATTATCAGTTTGGGGGGGAGAGAGACTGGACCTACCATTCAAGGGTATGAAATATGTTTTGTTGCCTATGTAGGCACTGATCTATATATATCAACTGAAGGCACATAAATAAAACAGTTACAACAAAGGAAAACTTAATTAACTCTCTGCTATATACTTTTCTCATATTCTACTTTCCTTTTGGATACATTCTACATTAATGGGGCTTTATGTTTCTCTGAAACATCTGAAGCCTTAGCTCAGAGGAGCAGAGTTGAACATTTGAGGGCTTGTTTATTAAGATTTTGCATTTATATACGGTACTGTTTTCATGTATCACTTCTATTTTGTTACTTACCTTCTAAGAGTGTATATTCCTCCTGATGCTTTAAAAGGAGACTAGACAATTTGTGGCAGATATTAGATATTGACTCAAGGCATCGAACTAGAAACTTCTCTCTGAAATTTAGTTGTGTTCCATACAATGCTTGCATTAATCCATCTTGCTCTTTGTCTTGGCAAGATCGAACAGCAGATTACTCTTGATCAGCTGCAGAAACTATACACAGCCTTTCAGGTACATCCTATTAAATAATTGGTGTCAAAGCATGTAATAATCTTTGGGGGGAAATTTTTGATGTTGCAGTTCCAACATATCTGGGAGTATCTAAGTTGAGAAAGTTTGTAGATGTTATCCCATTGGAAAATATAGATTAAAGGCACCTATTGATTGAAAAGTTATTATGCTTTGAACTTGGTTTGATTTTAATGTAAGGTGAGCGTGAAAGAAAGTATTCATTGTTGAAAGGGTCATGGTCAAGAGATGTATGTCAGCAACAAAGTAATATAATCCTTGCAGTATCTGATTGCCTATACTGGCAAGTGTTTTCTTGGCATAAAAGGATAAATGATGATTAAGTATTGCTATTTTATTGTTTTAATCTTTGCTACAGATGGAGCATATATTACCTAGGTTAACTGGGATTGAAGTGATTTGTAATCACTGAGTAATCAAGAAATTGTCATCATTGTTCTTACTCAACTTTTTTTTGGTTTTGGGTATTGGTTGGGAATTAAGACAAGGATAAATATTGACCCAACTTAATATATCTCCATGCCTAACCTAGTCTCCATATTGATGGCAAATACTTTATTAAAAACTATGATCTTCTGGACTCATCTGTCCAACTACTGTAAAAGTGGAGACATGAAAACCAAGGGTCAAGGAAATATGTGGCTGAGCAAACTTTACTGAGCACATTGTCCACATCATCTGGCATTAAGGATTAAAACATTGTCAGAGCTCCAGTCTCATAATCATCTTTGTTGCTCTGAATATTCATTTTGCATAGCAAGATGGACAGCATATAAATTTAATAAATAAATAGAAAATATTACTCAAAACTGAACTGCACAAACTGTGGAGTTTAAGACATGACTAATCTGACAAATGTTGCTTTCAGTCTTGCTCAAATATCACTGAGTGCTATTGAGATAACTGTCTGATATAGAAAATATAAAATGAAAGAGGAGAAATTGGCTTTTCCCCTTTTACCAAAAAATAGGCTCAAAATGTTCAAACCAATTTAGGATACATTTTCCTCTACTCATTCCAGTCATCTCCCAACATTTTCCACTGCCCTCAGCCGACATTTATTGCTGCCCATCTCGCAACAGTGATTCAGTATAACATGACTGAATGAGTTTCTCTTCATGAAAAATATTCAGGGGTTAATATGTCAATTAATGTTGAGACTCTAGAAATAATGCAGAGAAGAGCAACAAAGATGATTAGGGGACTGGAAGCTGAAACATACAAAGAACACTTGCAGGAATTGGATATGTCTAGTTTAATGAAAACAGGGACTAGAGGTGATATGATAGCAGTGTTCCAATATCTCAGGGGCTGCCACAAAGAAGAGGCAGTCAATCTATTTTTCAAAGCACTTGAAGGCAGGAGAAGAAACAATGAATGGAAACTAATCAAGGAGAGAAGCAACCTAGAACTAAGGAGAAGTTTCCTGACAGTGAAAACAATTAATCAGTGGAACGACTTGCCTCCAGAAGCTGGGAGTGCTCCAGCACTGGAGGTTTTTAAGAAGAGATTAGACAACCATTTGTCTGAAATGGTATAGGGTCTTCTCCTTGAGCAGGAGGATTGGACTAGCAGGTCCCTTCCAACTGTTATTCTGTTATTAAAACATGTAATATTACAAAAACCAGAGCAAAATATAGTATCACTATTACTCCATCACTGAAATCTTCCTCTCTGCTTTGGCATTGGCTGTAGAAGGGGCAGCCCATTATCTGCCACAGGTCTGGGGAAACTGTTTCACCTACTTACTGAAGGCTTCTAGAGCCAGGGGGAAAGAATGTCCAGACGAGTGGGTGTCTTTTTACCCAGGATCAGAAACAATAAAGATCACAAGAGCTGTTCTCATCAGGTGGCATGATTTATTGAGTGGCAGGTAAAAGTATCAATAGAGATAGAAGCAAAAATATGTAACTTTGGTAGAGAAACAGAGTCATCTCATTATAGTGAAAGTGGGTCAGAAGCTCTCTTGAATTCCTGGGGACTGCTGTATCTGTCAGGCCTCAGCCCAAGGACAATATAGTGAATCCAGTTCTTTATTTGCTTATGTCTAATAGACAGAATCTTGCCAGACTAAAGCTAAAAACTTCTAACCTAATACCATAGATATACCCTGGGAGATTCTAATTCTACCCTGAATCTTTTCCTTCCTCCTCCATCTAGCTCAGGACTATATAGACTCTTATCTTGATCCCTTGTTTGAAATGCACTGCTTTCTCCATGGGAAGCCATGGTGCTTCTGCCGACATTCCCCCAACTTTTTCTTCAGCTACACATTTCTTCACAGTATCTGATTTCTGATGAAGAAAATATTGAGATTATGGTACTTTAGTTTTACATTTAACATTACTCTCATGTTTGAATTATTCAAAAAGAAAAAAAGAAGTGACAGAGGAAAGAAACTATGATTTGAAAACCTAAGCTAATTTTGCCATGTCTACTGCTCTATATTAATGCTTAATAATGTTTTGCTGCTTTATTTGCCTCCAGGGATTGGAAACAAGTGGACATAAATCTGTGGATGTAGAAAGCTTCAAGCACATATTAAAGACATGTGCAGGGTCACATAATACAGTAAGCAAGCAGTGAAATTTCTTGGGATATTTTAACATGTAGCAAAAGTTATTAGTAAAAGGGGTGTGGGAAATTTCATGCTTTCTTTCCTGCCCTGTTTTTAGGTGCTGCATCAAATTGGGGGGAAGGGAATAGTGAGCTCCAACAAAATGTGTCTCATGAAATTTCAATGCTTTGTTAATGTCAAGATCTTTTACACATTTTTTTCTCTTTATAGACTGATGAAGAAATGGAAAAACTATTCATGAAAATAGACTATTTGGCAACTGGCAACATTCAGTGGGTACATACATATTTTGATTAATGGAAAAGTAGATGAGATGTAGTCAAGCATTTGGCCACAACAAAACAAGAAATCATTTTTTAAAAAATTGTGAATTAGCAGAAGTTTTTGACTGTGGCAGCATTAGAAAAGTGTCAGATAAATAAACACAAAATGACAGATGTTTCCGATTTGGACCACAATTAGCTTCAGCAATTGATTGAAGGTATAGTAAATAAATGGTGTTACAGTATATGTGGAGGTACTGAAATCAGTACAAAGACAAAGATTTTGTTTCTTCTGTAAATATGTATAGCGCCATGCTCCATAAGTTAGTAACATTACTTGTCAAATGTTACATATGTTTTACTTGGCATGTTTGTAGGATGGAACAAATAAATTTGGCTCTATGTTCACTTAGGAATAAACCTATTAGATACTGAAGGATTCAGATCTGAATAACCATCCATGCCATTTGCAGGCACAGATACCAGGATAATAACTGTCTCTTTTTCTCGATGCAGCATGATTTCTGCACATACTTGCAGATAGAATATGCTGAATTGGACAGTTCATCTGCACGCCTAAAAGAGGTCGCCTTTTCACTTCCTGCCACAATGCAAGAGATCCCACATGGAGAGCCTGTACTACGCATTTGCTCCCTGGTGGATAGCACATTAATAACAGCACAAGAAGATGGGCAAATTTCCTTCTGGTCACCAGAGTTCAAACTCAAACGAAGCAAGATGGTGTTTGTATGTCACATGTTTTTATTTTGCAGTATTTAGGAATATAGTCTATTTGTTTCCATTTGTATTGCATTCTATCCAAAGGAGGTTACATTTTGAAAGATCTTCCTGCTAAAGTGGAATTCCCAGTTGTTCAAGTCCACCTATCCTGGCACGTCATACAGCCTTTTCCAATATGACTTTCCAGATATTTGCTGGTGCTGAAGGAAATTGCACTGCATTACATCTGATATTCACTGGATTAGGAAGAACTATTGTCTTATTTCTTTAGAATGGTTTTTCATGCCTTTTTGGACCACAGCCTTTCTGCCCTTGACTCTCAAGCAAATTTCTTCATACCTGTGGGTAGAAATGAAGTTGGCTTATGAAATACCTTTATGGATTCTAGACTCTTTCTTCACTTTAGCCTCAGTGATAGCCAGATATCCCAACAAAATACCAATTATCTCCACCACCAACAATGGATCCTCTTCTTCCTTACTTCACCCTCTAATTTCCTTCCTGGATAATTTTTCTTGTGGACTGCAAGAAAAAATAGTTAAAAACATCAATGTTGGCATTTTTTTTTTTGTTTCTTTGGCTTCTGAGGAAAAATGGAAGAACTCTTTCTATTTTCATCAAGATTATATTATGTGTGTGTTAAAGAAAATACTCCAGCCTTTCAAAAGTTTATTGATTTATCTGTATTTTTTAAAAAATCCATCTTTTTGCTGGTGCACGGGGCTTCAGCTTCCACTGGCAGCCAGCCCTATAGCCCAGGATGAAATGCTGGACAGTTACCAGTGCTGGAGAGCATGATGTATTCCCACCACAGCACATGTTAGCCAATAGAAGTGGAGACATTGCCTATAACAGAAGGACGTATTGCAGTTCAACTACTTGGATTGCTGATGCCAGCACAAGTCAGAAAATACTATTTTTGATGCAGAGCAAGAAAAGCCAGAAGTTGACTTCACCACCGATTGGAGTTGAATTGAGGGTGATGTTGTATGTTCCAGTCCTTAGGAAAGAGTTAATGAGCCAATGCAACTTTATGGCTTTTCATGGCCAGCTATCACCCTGATGGCCTGTGAATGGGCAATACCTAATCTTAAACCACAGTCCATTGATTTAAAGCTCCAAGCAGATTTTATCAGCTCTACTTAGAAAAATCTTCTTAAGCCATTCCACATACCTTCTGCAACCAGCCAGATATCTTAGTTGCATAACAATTCTAGAATTTGCCAGGGCTTTATCCTTGGCCAGATTCAATGCCCTCCCAACAGCTGTTACGGAAGGGAAATACCAAAAGATCCCTTTGAAAAGTAATTGTGCCCGTATGGAGAAGGAATAATTGTATTATTTATTTATGTATGTATTTAATTGTTCATATTTATTTATCAATCAAACTTCTTAACTGCTCATCTCCCTCAAAGAGGGGATCTTAATTTGTAATGTCCCTTCTTAGCAGATACTCTCCAGGAATTATCCCCATTCCTTACTAAACGTCTGGTCATTCCATTTTGTTTCATCTTAAATTGTTATTATCTAATCCAGTGATGGCGAACCTCTTAGAGACCGAGTGCCCAAACTGCAACCCAAAACCCACTTATGTATCGTTGGGTGCCGGGTGGGTGTGGCCCATTGGGTGGGCGTAATGGCAGACTGGGTGGGACTAAAAAGTTCGATCAATCAATTCCAATTTGCAAGATCTTTTTTTTCCCTGCGAGAAGTTGAAATTGACTGATTGATTGAACCTTTTTTTTTTTTTTTTTTTGCACACGGTGGCAGAGGCCTAAAGCGAAAAGGTTTTATAAAACCCAGCTGAAGGCCTGGGACTGAGGCAATGGTGCGTGTGCCCACAGAGACGTCTCTGAGTGCCGCCTCTGGCACCCTCTCGCCACCACTGATCTAATCAATTTGATTTTACTTCTTTGACCATAGCTACAATAAATACTGTTTTGTATTTTGCACAATATACCTTAACATTTCTTCTAATGCTTTTTTAGATATTTTAAAACAATGCTTTTTTCTTTTTTTATCTTAAATAATTGTGGTTCTCTTGTTCTACTTGTTGATCAATGACCAATTTTTTTTTAAAAAAATGACTTTTTGATTAATGAGCCATCTCTGCACCAGGAGAAGCAGGAAGTATGGATCAGACCTAAGTTTTAACACGAGGGAGAGAAATGTATCCTACAGATGTTGCTGAACAACTATTCCCAAGGTCCATCAATATTGCCTATGCTAACTGGACAGCTGGGAATAGTAGTTCAGCAATATTTGGAGAACTGTGGGCTTCCCACTTCACTCCAACTGCATTCTTTAGACAATCCAAATACCAAAGAAATCTCTTTCCTTATATTAGTGTACTGGCAAGAATTTCTTCTTAAAACTATTCCTCTTATTATTCTCTCTGGTTACAACCAAGTCCTCTCTGCTTTTTCCTGTATCCAAGTGATTTTTTTAATTTTTTTTTTATTTTAAGAGCCCAATTAATGATTCAGAAACTGTTTAACTGTTTTTCCCCTTTGTAGGAGAAAATTCACAGAAAATCTAAGTGGTTGATGGACTTTACTGTCATGACACCATACAATAAACTAATTCTGGGAACTGGGTAAGTATTTTATATATAAACTCACTAACCTGACTGATCATTTCCTTTTACTGCAGAGCACTGGGAGAGACATTTACTGGAACACAACAAAAGCTACAAGATATGGTAAAACATTTCAAGATGGATACAGGTTGCGAGCAAACTTTGTACCATCATGTTTTTAATGTCAGTCAGTGGATGCTGCAACAGGAGAGGATAATTAAAAAATAAAATAAAATAGCAGTGCATGAGTAACCAGAATATTATTCATGCCAGCTGGAGGAGATTCTCTTGAAGTACATGTTGCTGGGTGGGGCTGGAATTTCAGCTAATGAAACCAACAATCACAACTCTTTGAATGTAGAACATTAAAAGCTATATAGCCAGCAACACAGCATAGACCCACAGTACAACCTGTTTTTGAAGGCAACAACATTTGAATGGCATGATTTCTTGCCTCTATGGAACAAGGCAAAATAGCAATGTGGATATGACCTGTGGCCAATTTCATAAATAGATGCAACTCTTGCCACACTTGCTGCTGTAAAGAAAAGGCTGCCATCTTTGCTTTGTAGTTCCCCCTCAGTAACTCATACAAAGGAGAAGAGCTGAAATTGACAAGAGATTTGTCAGTTTCTCATTCTCTTAGAAAAGGACAAGGTATCTTTCCCTTCTTTTTTTTACAAATGGGATGGCGCTAAGGGATTCTTGTTGCTGCAGAGATTTTTGCTCTTTTTTCCCAGTATTTTTGATGCTGGCAAAAGCCCAAACAAATCATGCATAATTTTCTAATTTCTCTTGAATGCAGAGAACGGGAGTGGTGGTGTGGGGACACTAAGTTATAATTCATAGTTTAACTAAATGAAACATTAACTTTTATAATTATAGAAGTCTTCTGTTTCCATTTAAGGAAATATCAGATAGTGTGCAATTCAGAATAAATGGATACACACAATACTAAATCAAAATGAAACAAACCCTACAATGTCTTAGATTCATGTCTATTTAATCCCCCTTTAGAGCTGAATCCTGGAACTTTGGAAGAGGGTGGAATTAAATATCCACAGCATCCATAATTTTACAAAACTCATGTCATCTCTTACACTAAAACCTCTTACATTTTTCTCATAGCAGAATTGCTATGAGGAGCATGTGGAAAGAGACACAGCGCCAACAAAATTACAATATATGCTTCCTAACATCATGACATGAATGATTAATAATGTATTAATATCAGGGCCTCTGATGCAAATACATAAATTGCATCATTTGCATGATTATATGACACAAATGTCAGGATATCATCCATCTGAACATAAATAGAACCATACACTATGTTCCAATTATGCTGTCACAAATATCTAACCACATTACAAAATTAGTTTTATTTCCAATCCATTTTGAGATTAACCCTAAGTAATCCTTGTCTACAGCTAATATGTACCACTGCTTGTCTTATTTATGGGGAAAGTATGTCTTTAAAGTCTGTGATGTTAACATCTGATCATATTTTAACTGGCGATAGGGATCGTGAACTTCAGTTCTATGAAAGCTCCAACTTTGAACCCTACCTTCAGATTAGTGGCTTGGAAGCCATACCTTTGAATCTAGATTACTGGTAAGCCAATATAGATACCTATCACATACTATTTATCATCACATAATGATTCCATATTATTATATATGGCATTAGATCTATTATTATGCTCTGTTTTGGCATTTGGTACTCTTACATAATTGTGGAAGATCAATGTGCAATACATTTCTCTGGCTATGATTCTTTCTTTTGTTTTCCTTTTGCTTCAGAAGACGGTCTTGTAATTTTCCCATAAAGTCCCATAATGTTGCTGCATCAACTGTTTGGGTGCATAGGAGGCTCCAAGAATCATGAAGGTTGGGGAAAACAGATTTCCTGTGGCTGTGCTAGCATTCTGGCCACACTAACTAGAACTGGAGGAAATGATAGTTTAGTAGTATCCAGAGAGCCACAAGTTCTGCACTTATGAGATAAAGATACAGCATCATTATAGCATTAACTATCCTTTCATAATTAGGCTTCAGAAAATCATGGGAACCTGTAAGCATGAGAACCTTTATAACAGGTCAGGACCTTAGAGTGTTAAAATGCCAAAAGTCCAAAAGTCCTGTTCAAAATCTCTATGCATGATCATGCACATTTAGAAAATGATTCAAAGGACATCTGTGAATTTTTCATGAGCACAACAGCTCCCTGCTGTTCATTAAACCAACCTATCCTTCCTTAGATTTCTTGCTCAAACTGAAAGGAAAAAAAGATGGTGGTTCCTTTAAGAATTGTTTTAATGAGTCAGTTCTTAAAGCATTTTTTATGCTTATACCGAAGCCTGAAGGAAAGTAGGTCACTTTAATAAGTAGCAGAGGGGGATGCTAGCCTTTCATGGGGTTCAAAGTACCCCTTCTGAATCATTTTCAAAGCACGTTAGCCTTACTCTGTACTGAGAAGAACTGGAACTGTACAGCGTTGCCTGATTTTCATTCATCTCTGACTTTCTATGCTGGGCAGGATGATTTGCAACCAAGGAATTTTGTTCAGCTGATTGTAGTTAACATGATTTGCAGAACTGAAAGTCTTGATTGCACATTGCTACCCTTTGTGCAAAGCATATTCAGATGAAACTGATTACAATTTGTTTACAAATCTTCCTGATGTACTGATGTCATAGGCTTCGGAGCGCATATCTGCATTCCAGGCTCTTCTCTATGCCTAGATGTTTTAAGGGTTTGCAGAATGCAGTCTTGTTTAGATTTCATTTATACACTTGCAGGATTCAGATTTGCTTGAGAAATTGTATGCAATTTATTTATGAGGGACAAGAAATTCTTCATTTTCTCCTGTACTTCATTTTCAGCTGTACAGACCATGATGAATGTATGATTCTTTATGGTGATGACCAGGTATGTATTGTAAAAACAATTGCTCGGAGAAAAGAAAACAAACAGAAGTGTGATATTTGCTTCTAAAAGTATAATCATAGAATTATATAGAGTGTGAAGGGGGAAGTTAGACTAGATCCGAATTGCTGCTCATTGTGTGAATCTAAATGAAAAATCCCAAACAAATGGTTGTCTAGACTGTACTTAAATACATCCAAAGAATGGTAGCCCGTCTTTGATAGGAAGTTTTTTCCTAAGATTAAGGGGGTTCTTCCTCTTCCTGTAATTTAAATATATTATTCTGCATTCTAAAAAAACAAAGAAATAGGTTTTTACTTTCTTCTATCCTTCCAGGTATTTGAACAAGAGCATTATACAGTATCTCTACTGAGCTGGTTTTTCTTTTTTCTCTTAAGGTCAAATATATCCAACTCTCTCAATCTCTTTTCATATGGTTTAATTTTTAATCCCATTTTTATTACCCTTCTCTGAACTCTGCTTCAAGTTCCCTGAAATGTGATGCCCAAAACTGAATACAGTATTCAAAGTGGGGGCCTGACCAAAACCAAAATATAGTGAAATGATTATTTCTTGTGATTTGGAAATTATACTTCAGTTAATGCAACCATTAACTGAATAACCCACAAATTATACAGGTAGTCCTTGAATTATGACCATAATGAAGACTGCCCATCATGATCATAATGTGATTGTTAAGTAGGTCAATCAAGTAGCCCAGAGGTCCCCAACCTTTTGGGCACCAGGGACCAGTTCCGTAGAGATTTTTCCACAGACTGGAGGGGCATGGTTTCGCATGCTGCCTGCATCCCATGGATGAGGCTTTGCTTGTTTGCATGGATTGGTTTCAGGCAGGCCATGGACCAGTGCTGATCCATGGACCAGGATTAGGGACCCCTGATGTAGCTAACCCAATTTGACAATCCTGTTTACAGTGGTCATTAAGTGAGTGCTACAGTCATTAAGTGAACTAATGGTTTGCTATGGATGTAGTTTTACCAAAAACCAGAAGTTAATGCTGGTTTTCAGCGAAATTGTTGTAAAACACTGTCATGTGACTGCGGGATGTTGCAAACTGCCATAAATGTGGCTCAGTTGCTGAGGGCCAGAAGTACAGTCAAGTGATTATGGGGAGGGGGACAACCGTTAGAACTTTGGATGTCGGTTGTAAGCACTCCCCAAGTAGGTCCATTGGAATTTCAGATGGTCTCTAGTCTAAGCAACCAGTCATAAGTTGAGTATTATCTGTACGTGGAGAGAAGCATTCCCCCTTCTAATGTTCTGGCCATAAGTTGTTAGAGTTTTAAAATCACCTTCAAAACTTTGAATTACAAAATGCCTCACATCCTAAGGATGCATAATTGTGACCTTTCAATTTGCTTTCTGCACCTGACTAGAATCTTATAACTTATAATTTTGTAATCTTATAAGATAACATGAATATCTTTGTATTTCCCTTTTTTCCCCTTGCTTTGTTGTAGGGATGTGTCAATATCTTGCAGTTACATTCTGTGGGTGAGACCCTGAGGTGAGCACTTACAAAAGTCCAAATATCAATTGTGGTAACATGACACATTCAGTCAACAATTTGCAATGCCTGGGACAGATATGGCATCAGCTCTTTTGGATGACAAGTTTCATAATGCAGAAGAAGCATAAACCTCGGAATGAAAGGGAGAATAATAGCAAACGTACTTGTTACCACAGAAAGTTAGAAGTATTGTCACCATTTTTATTTTAGGGTGACTGCTCACCCTGTGTTGATCTCACTAACAAATATACTCTTAACAATGAGGTACATCTTCTGGTTGACTCCAATAGGAAGTGCATTATTCTTTTAGACAACAATCTAAAAACTGTAGAGATTGCATTTCTGTATGTAGTTATCAAGAAATGATTCCCATGGAATTTAATTGGACTTAGGATTATATCAACTGCATTATTATTTTGGTAACCCAATAGATAGTTCCACAATGGAAGATTTTTCACCATTATTTCTAATTAATTTGCATTGGGTTGCTGGCAAAATTCTATTAAAATATATGGTACTTTAAATATTGTACAGTATTCTGACAGTTACACATTCTATAATAAATACATGTTTAGTTGTTTTTGTGCCTTCAAATCGGGGTTTTTTTTTTTTACTCTTGGTGACTGCCTGGACTAGTCCCTTGGCAAGGTTTTTTGGAAATAGCTTACCACTGCTTCTGTCCCAGGGCTGAAAAAGTGATGGTCCAAGGGTCACACAGCTGACTTCATGCTTAAGGGATGTAGAACAAAGAACCTCCCACTTCATCCCCTCCCTCCCTCTCTCTCCCCCCCCTCTCTCTCCAGTAGAGTAGAAGGTTGTTCTCGAGCCACTTGTACATCCACTATGAAGTTGTGCAATTTTTTTCACCAAAGTGTCACAGATATAAGAAAAGTGGTAAACTATAATGAATGGATTTAGACATCACACAAAGTACACCAAATAAACTACATTATAGTTTGTCGCAACATGCATTTTACCCCGTTATCCATGTTCAAATGTTGTGCTAATTTCTAAACAATGTTCCACAAAGTGAAATGGTTAAATTCACACTGTATACTAAGCCAATATCAACCAAACCATTCTGGGTTTAGCATGTTATTAATCTCTACCATTGTCTGTTTAAATAAAGAATTTTGATGTAAGAACTGAGCTAATTTATCAGTCCAACTTGCCAACTTTGGGGACTCAAAATCATAGTGCTCTGATGCTCTTAATGTCTCAGATTATTAATTGGTTTGTAAGGAGCTCACAGTGTTATCCTGAATCTATGGCAAATTTGGATTTGCACATATTTGAGTGAAGTATAATATCTTTCAATATGAAATTAGCATTCTCACTTTTCAACTTTCTAAACATTGGTCAGATGTTTTCTTTGGAAATGATCACTTGAGTAATCAGGCTGAATGAGTATTTTCCAAGGATATAATTATCTTTTCTTGATGTATTTCAGGACATGGAAGAAGCTGCCCAAAGTGGACAGTCTCCCTAATATAAGGCTTGAGAGTGCTATACTTTCTCCAAATGTCACTTACATCCGTTGGAAAGTTCATGGAGACTGGGTGACTCAGGTAAAAAACAGAAGGGTTTTCCACCTTCTGATCTAAAGAGAACATGGGGTTCTATTCAGTTTTTTTTTTTGTCTACATTCAAGTCATGTTTAAGCTTCTTACAGCAATCCAAAAATACATTTTTTTTTCCTGAAAGGCAGGAAGAGTTCATTGTTGAGAAACAGTTAAATTTTGACTCTAAGTCTCATGATCCTTTTGGAGAATTGATGGGTGTATTTTCCCAGGATTTTATAATGATTAGACAGCTTTGTTCTTTTTCTGTGTGTGTTAATCTGATTCATTAGAGAAAAAAATTAAAATAATAAGAATATTCTCATCTCACTAGTGTTTGGTTGGATAATAGTTTTTTCTGTCTTTTTAGCTGAATTACTATGATTCTATTAAGGCAATAATTTCTGCATCAAGCCATGAGCCTACAGCCTTAGTAATAGGTAATTATATAATTCCTTATATTTTGTTTGTAAAGTCTCCCCTTAAAATTATTTCATGATTGATTACATGCCATCAAGTTGGTGTTGTCTCTTAGTAACCATATAAATAGATTCTCCCCATAAAGATCTATCTATCCAAAAGATTTCTCCATAAAGATCTGATCCTTCAAGTCCCCCACCAGTGCATCCATCATCCCTGTAACCAAGTCAAAACCAGTTCCTGCAGTTCAGCTTCTTCTTCTCTTTCCTTTCACTTTCCCAGCATTAAAGCCTTCCCTAGAGAGAGACGTCTTTGAGTAATGGGTCCAAAACAGGATAATTTGAGCTTACCTTTTGTCAATCAAGGCCTTTATTAAAACTTATGCGCAGTGCTTTTTTTCTAAAAAAAAAAAAAAAAAAAAGGTGACGGAACTCACACAAGTCATACAACCCGCCTTGCCTACCCTACAAGGTTCCATCCAAAAAAGGTGCCAGAACTCCGTTCTGGGTGTTCTATGGGAAAAAAAAAACCCTGCTTATGTGTAAGATGGAAACGGTGTAGATTAAGCTTTCAATCTTAGCTAGTATATTGAGACATACGTCCAATATTCTTTGTTTAATTAATTTATTTGTATCCCACCTTTATTTTTACAAATAACACAACACACCTTTATCTTCCTATTTGCCCCCCAACAACCTTGTGAGATGAATTGGGCTAAGAGAGAGTGGCTGACCCGAGGTCACCCAGCTGGCTTTCACGTCTAAGGCAGGACTAGAACTCATGGTCTCTGGTTTCCTAGCCTGGTGCCTTAACCACTAGATCAAACTAGCTCTCATAATTTAAAGAAGTCAATGAATATTCACTCAGTATAAGAATATTGGAGCCTAAATTCTGTGTAGGAATCTTTTACTGAATTCTCATATTCTTCTACAGGGTGCATTGTGGGAGCTACCAATGTTGAGCAACAAATGAGAGAAATAAAAGAAAATAAGAAAGATTCAAAGACGAAGAAAGTACAGGAAATGCTAGGAACTCCTTCCCAGAGAGCTGAAGGGGATCAGATTATTTTTCGGATTCATAAAGGAGTCAAAACATTTGCAGTTAATAAAAAGAACAATGCCATAGTAACTGGTGGAATGGATCGAATTATTCGAATATGGAATCCATACATGCCTGGGTAAGATATTGCAACTATTCTTCTACAGCTCTATTATAGTCCTTAGCCAACTATTAGTTATTTTAAATGCATAAGGTTCTATTTTTATTTAGGATATGTATGCATGAATTAGTGTGATTTTTTAAAAAAAATGTAGATCAGATGAATTCCTAATTCATAGTTAGTTTAATACCCGTTTAAGAGATCCTTATATTGTTATGGAAGGAGGGGATAATATTTTTCTTGTCATTATCAAAAATAAAAATAAATCTAGGGGTTTTTAATATTATTTATTCATTATTCTTTAGATTTCCATTAGATTTCTAAAAGAGCTCGCGGCAAAATAGGATTTGTTGAAGGGAACAAATTCAGCTCTCCATTACCTTTCCCATTTTCACTCATGACACTCTCCTATTAAGAATTTCTTAGCTTTACTTTCCCCTTCCTTGACTGTGAAGAATAGAAAGATATGTCGCTATCATCCAACACTGATTTGTCTTTTGGGATCATTGAAATATAGCTGCCCCTTCATGAAATTTTAAAAAGCATTACCTTAAGGCAGCTTTCCTAGTAATATATTTTACAGACCTCTTGGTCTTTGAAGAATGATTGTTTTGCATTTTTCCAACCAGCCCACAAATTAATAATATTTTTGCAAACATAATTCAAAGCTGAGTCAGGTGAAATTATTTTTGTTGTATATACTATTACTTGTAAATCTGTATTTATGGCCATGTTTTCCAGCTAGTTACCAGGAGTCAAGAATGGCTTGAAATACCAAATAAATAAACTATCTATTACTGGCTCATTTTAATATATAGTTCATTATGTGTTTCAAATTGGTCAAGATTTAATGTTCTCACTGAATTTTAGAAGACCCACAGGCATGCTCAAAAGTCACATGGCCCCCATTTTCTATGTCTACATATCTGAGGAGGATAAAATATTTTCCATATCAACAGACAACACAGTTAAGGTCTGTCTTTTTCATATTTCAAATTATATTTCCTTTACTCTAATTCTTGCCCTTTAGTACAACCTATTTTTTTCCTTGCAGATATGGGATATGGAGGATCAAACTTGCTTATTCACTGCTTGTTCAAAAAACAATGGAATTAAAGGAGAGATTACTACTTGCCATTATATATCAGGCATTCGATCACTCTGTGTTGCCACAGATACACTGGCCATTCTTCACCTAAGATTACGGTAAAATACAAAGCATCATAATCAGAGCTCCTAACGTTTAGATAGACATCTAAGAATTGCATTTATGGAAAACCCAAAATGTAAGAAATTGCTGAAAAAATTCTAGGGTTTTGGAAATAGTGTGATTATTATGTCGGGACTAGAATGTAGCAACAAGAGAATACTTGAAATATTGTGGCATTTATTAGGATTGCACTCTTAAGAAAAATATTTACAAGGATATAACATTTTGTAAAATCTAGATGAACATTTAATTTCAAATAATTACCAATGTGATTTTTAGATTAGCTTGTTGAAATCTATTAAACCAGTGGTTCTCAACCTGTGGGTCGGGACCCCATTTGGGGTCGAACGACCATTTCACGGGGGTCGCCAAACCACGCTGTCCGCCATTTTTTTCCCTTTTCCCTAGCTGTCCTACTCCCTCTTATTGGTGGCCACACCCACTTGGGGGTCACCACAACATGGGGAACTGTATTATGGGGTCACGGCATTAGAAAGGTTGAGAACCACTGTATTAAACGCATAACTTATGTTTTTGCTGATTAATGCTAGGGAAAGTATTAGTTCTCCCAATATACAACTATTAACTGAAGTAGAAGTACTTTCCAATATTTATCAGCCTTCTAATGAACTATAAAGCATCATAAAATCCTGAGACACGGGCATTTTTATTACTAGAACATATCATTATGGTGTTATTCTCTCTTTCGGGATAGGTTATCTCTAAATTTCCAGTATTGTACTGCAATGCTGAATCAGGCCTAGAGGAACTGACATTCATAATCTTTAATTAACATATGTGCACATATTAAACTAATAATATCAGGAGAGTTAGGAACTACAGAGGAAAAGTGATGCCCAAATAAATGCAGGCACTTTTGGGATACCAAGTTGTTTATCTAATGAAGTTTTATGTTTAGATACAGGAAAGACATTAATTAAACCTGAAATACAGCTTTTAGTTACTAATTTTTACTTCAAAAGCTTTCTTTAAACTTAAAAGACTTTATTTTCTTTATAATTTCAGATTCATTCAGAGAAAAACATAATTTCAATTCAATTCTACTGAATGAAGAATTAGCCTCAATAAATGAAAGTAAATTACACTAAGTGTAAAAGATTACATATTCAAATATTTATTATTATAGTCTTAAATCAAAATATAATCAAAATACAGTTAATAGAAATGAATAAAGCAAGTCAAAATTAAGACTTTAACAATATGATATAGTTCATCCAGGTTTGCTGAATGCTTGTGGGCCAAATAATAGCCAACAAGCTATATAAATGTTTATTTTAGGGTTCTATTTGTCAGTTTATGTCAGAATAAAACTTACAATGTAAGAGAATATGATCCCATCAACTTGCTGTCCCCTTTCACACAGGAATAAATTTGGGGAACTGTAATGTTATCCTATTTACTCTGTAAAATTGCTAGTGTGAATGAATTGAAAGGGGTATAGGTGAATGCCCAGTGGAATGAGTGGAATGAGTTAGTTTAGATAATCTGCAGGTTAGTGTCATTGTTTGAAAAAAATCAAATTAAATTTCTACATTTTCAATTCACTACTCTTTAATACCCATAGTTTTTAAAGGCCAGAAAATAATAATAAGAGTTCTGGAAAAAATCACGGGATAGCACTTTCTTGTGATATTTTCCCAACTAAGTACATCTTTATGTATCAAAAGTGATTACTGAAAGCAACCCAGAAGCTTAGCCAAGCAAAAAGAATAGTGTGTTATCTAAAGATAAAGAATACTACATATTGAAAAAAAGGGGGGGCACAATGGCTTAGGGGTTAAGGATGCTGAGCTTGTTAGCTAGAAAGATGACAGTCTGGGTTTGAGATCTGAATGCCGTGCAACTCCTGTTCCTTGCTCCAGCTCCTGCCCACTTAACAGATCGAAAGCACGCAAATGTGAGTAGATTAATAGGTACTATTTCAGTGGAAAAATAATAGCATTCCACGTGCATTGGCATATACTGTAGACATGCTGGCCATATGACCACTGAAATGTCTTCAGACAACGCTGGCTCCCTCGGCTAAGAAACAGAGATGAGCATCACCTCATAGAGTCAGGCACAACTGGATAGGGGAAACCTTTAAGTTTTTACATATTGATTATAAAAATAATTTTACAATGGCTAGATGTTATATTTATGTTTGGTTTCTGAAATTTCCAAAAAAAACCTAATTATCTATTTGATTTGATAATTCTTAAATATAGAAAATTTTTAAGTGTCCTACTTTCATCTGCAGTTTTAGAAGAGTGATACAGAAGGCAAAACAGGGGCATTGGTCTATTCTGGTGGATATAGAGAAATGCAGATTTTACCACCTACTATTTTGTTAATTTTATAGAGACATAAAGGAACAGTATCTTATCGCTAAGATTGAAGAATAATTAATGGAATGGAATGGAACGGAACGGAACAGAACAGAACAGAACAGAATAGAATACTTTATTGGCCAAGTGTGTTTGGACACACAAGGATTTTGTGTTTGGTGCATACGCTCTCAGTGTACGCACATACAACAACTTTATTTAAAGATACTAAATTCAATAAAACATACTTAAGATTAGTATATTAATAAATGGACATTCAGAAAAAGGATGATTAAAAATTGGGCTTTGGAAGATAGATTTTGGAATAGTTGGACTGCTACTGATTTGTACAGGTTTGATGTACTGAACTGGAAGCTTTTCCCTTTAATTATAGAATAATGCCTTTATTTTACTATTTAAGCTATGTATATTTTGCTGTTTAAGCATTAGCATCAAGAGAAATAACATTTTAATTTATTTGATTTTGTTGTTGTCTCTAAAGTAGATCAGCTCCAGATCCTTATATAGTAACTTCCCATAAAAAACCAGTTTCATGCTGCAAATTCAACAAAGTATTCAGGCATGTTGTGAGCTGTTCTGAAGATTCTGTAAGTGAAATAATCATAAAATTCTCTTCAGTTTTGACCATAGTTATATAATCAATATATTTACAATCCTCAGAATTCTGAGTTTGTTTTAGATATGAAGTGAGTTGTTATTCAAGATTGAGCCTTCTCAAAACTGGAATTCCTTGCCAAAAGGCATGGTAAAATGGTTTTTAAAAATATTTTACATATTAACAGAGAATGCAGTTATCTCTAGTTACTCTTCAGGATCATAAGCAAATGCTTTTAAATAAGTACTTAAAACAAAATCTCATTCATCTGCTTCCAAAAGTATTCACTTATTGCGTGCAATAAATCAGTGTTTTTCAACCTCAGCAACTTTAAGAGTCATTTTGTGAGAGAGGTGCAGTTGTATAAATGTGACAAATAAATAGTATGGAATAGGCAGCATGCTGAAGTCCACTTTTATTAAATTTGCAGAGGTTGAGAAACACTGCTTTAAATACACTCTATGTTATTGTGAAATGGCCTCCCACAAAACAAGACTTCCTGTGTATTTGTTTTAGATTGCAGTTTTATAGCCAATAATATATCTTTCTTCATTTTCTTCCTCTCCTCCTCCTCCTCCTCCTCTTCCTCAATAAGGCTTACTCTCAGATACACTAGATCAGGGGTAGGCAACCCAGAGCAGCTTATGGCAGGGCTTTTCAACCTTTTTACTGATTGTTCCACTTTTAGGATATGGCAATATTCGAGTACCACCTAGCAAAGTGTCAAAAACCTGATGACCAAAAAAAAAAAAAACCCTGTTGAAAGTTGCAATTGCACTGAAATGACTTATGACCATTTTTCATACTTATGACCATTGCAGCATGCCCAGGGTCATGTGATTTATATTTGGATGCTTGGCAACTGATTCATATTTATAATGGTCATAGTGTTCCAGGGTCATGTGATCCCCTTCTGCAACCTTTTGACAAGCAAAGTCAATGGCAGAGCTGCTGGTGGCCAAGTGCTAAGGCGGCACTTCTTTTTCTCCCTCCCTTTTTCTCATTCCCTCTCCCTCTTTCTCTCTCTCTTTCCTCTCTCCCTCCCTCTCTTTTTCTCTCTCCCTCTCCCTCTTTTTCTGTCTCTCTTCCTCTCCCTTTCTCTCCCTCTCTTTTTCTCTCCCTTTTTCTCTCCTCTTTCCTCTCCGCCTCTTTCTCTCTCCCTCTCTCCTCTCTTTTTCTCTCCCTTTCCCTCTTTCCTCTCCTCCCTCTCTTTCCTCTCCCCCTCTCTCTTTCTCTCTCCCTCTGTCTCCTCTCCCTCTCTCTTTCTCTCTCTTTCCTCTCTCTCTCTTACTCTCCCTCTCGTTCGCTCTCCCCCCTCCCTCTCTCCGAATTTCTGCTCACCTGGCAAGCTGGCTTCAAGCTGTTCTCCAACAGTCTGACTCTCTCCTGCCCTTCCTGCTTCCTGCTTCCTGCTTCCTGCAGAGATGCAGCCAAGGCAGGAGCCCCACCCAATAAGCTTGTCAGCTTGTTGGAAAATAGGGTGAGGCCACTCTTTTTTTTACACATACACAACAGAGAGAGAGAGAGAGAGAGAGAGAGAGAGAGAGAGTGAAGGGAAGCACAAGTGCCTGTCTCTGTTTCTGTCTCTCTTTCTGCAAATGGCAGAGGAGGTTGGGAGCCGCAGGAGAAGGCTCAAAGAGCCACATGCGGCTCCGGAGCCGCAGGTTGCCGACCTGTGTTTTAGGATCATGGCAATAGTATTTCTATATATGTCTCTTTTTTCTTCATTTAAGGTGGTCAAGGTGTGGGATTTCGAAAGTGGAAAGCCTGTATTTGAATTTGGTAATGCTCATGGTGATTCTGCAATTACATGCCTCACATTTGATTTCAGTGGAAGAAGGTACATTTTGAGAGTTTCAGTGTGTAAGAAGTTGTGATATTTTTCACAAATTGCTAAAGAAATAATTAGGCACTGCAATCATGTTCCAGACTCATTACTGGAGGAAAAGATGGCTGCTTGAAAATATGGAATTATAATAATGGACAGTGTCTTCACACTTTGAAAAAGGGTAAGCAGAATGTTGACTCAATTATCTAAAAATTCATTTCAAGAAGGGGAAAAAATGTAAGTCTATGGCTTTTTCTTCTGTACAGAAGACAGATGTGATGAAGTTCGTGACTGTGCTTATGTGGAGATCAATAAAAATGAGTAAGTTATCCACATTTGTCATAAAGTGTGACATTTTAGTGCAGGAAAGGCTAATGAAAAACATGCGGGGTTTTTTTGTGGGGCAGGTTCATATAAACAGGCCAATTCCTAAAAAAATGATCTTCAAGCCATCAGGTTGTTTTGGCAGATGCCATAGGAAAGATATCATACACTTCCCTCGTGTTAGGGACCTATCTGAGTCTTCAGGTGCAAAAACTGAAGATCTTGACCTGTCTAAGCCCCAGCCTGCACCAGAGCAAAGAAAAGAAAAGAGTGCACCTAAGGAGACACAGGTGCATACCAGCACATATCCAGTGTCTGAGTTCTGGAAGCTCATGAGCCTAGTATCATGCTGTAAAATTCAACAGAGAAAATTAAAAGAAAACCCAAGCTATCTACAGTCCTTGATAGAAAGAAATCTGCTTTTTTCATTTCAGATGCCAGGGATTAAACCTAGAGACTTTAACATACAATCTTATGCTCTGTCACTGAGTTACGGGGGTCCCCTTAATTATTGAGGTATTTTATTACATTCAAGGATAGAGAGTAGTACTGGAGAGGGGAATAAATAGCTTGGCTTGTTTGTGTCTTTAGCAGTTAAATATGGAGAAATAAGCATGTAAAATCTAATGGCAAGAAGGAACTGTTTCCTACATATAAAATCCCATTAAAAGAATTAACTGCAATAGTCATTCAGAAGCTGATATATATTGAAAAGAGAGTTGCAGAATTAAGATGGATACCTGATTTTTAAAACTTGAAGAATTCTAATAAAATGAAACCTTTTACAAAAATGAAGAATGAATGAAAATGTTGAGAGTTTATACTGCTCAAAATACAAGCTCCACTCTCTGCAGTGTGACGGCTACAGTTTGAACTGGAGAAAAACCCTTTTTAACTCAGTTCAACTGAAAGTGAATGAAAAATTAGGGATGACTGCACCTATATCTAAAAAAATGAACAATAGATAATTCAACTCCCTGGCAGTTTAATAACAGAATTTACATGAGAGGGTTAGTGCAATATAGGTGGCCCTAGCAGCTAGACTACAGAAAGAATATATCATTCAAATTTTGGTAAACATTAATTGCTTTTACAGGTATATCATAGGTGTGGGATGGGACAGAAGAATAAATTTGTTTTATGTAAGTAACAACTTTGCATACAAAAAAATGTCATCACTGTTAATTGTTGAAATTGTTATGCCAAAAGTACCCACAAACATAAATAATTGTTTTCTGGTGAAAACATTTTGTTTTTCATTGAGAACTGGCTCTATTAGCCCATGACTAAATGGCCAAAATTGTATTACTTAATTAATCATGGTCCCCAAAAGCTGGTGTTCTGTTTTCACTGTAGGGGCTCTACATTGCCAGTAGTAAATTCAAGAATAGCTCAGCAAGGAAATCTGAGAATTCTGTTAGCTATTACCTGCATCTATGGGCAAATACCACTTATCCTTCACATTGGTCAATCCACATACAACAATGAGAAGGCCCTTTCATAACAGAACTCTGTTCTACTTTGTACACAAGATGCAAGCAGATGGATGGATTGATATGTTTGTGTGTATGTATGTTTATACACATTTCCCAAAATTTGAACTTCAGTCCTAGTGATTATACAGGTAATCCCTGAATTACGACAGTTCACTTAGCGACCATTTGAAGTTACGACCTAACCCCCCCAAGTACTTATAACAGAGTCCCGAAATGACGAACATTGCAGCACCACAGCAGTCATTCACACTTGCGAATGACCACAGAGGCTCTGCAACATTTGCCCTGCCTATTCCCCCCACCCCCTGGGGTCTCTACAGGCACTAGGCCTGTGGATACTCACCTTGCGAAGATCCAGGGAGCCTTCTGTTTCTTGGCCTGTTCGATGCTTCAGGCCTTCGGTGCATTTGCAGAGAATGGAGGCCTAAAGTACTGCAAGATCACACGGGATCAGAAGCGCGAGATTTCATGCTACTGATTTTGCCTGATCGCACAGTACTTTAGGCCTCTGTTGTCTGCAAATGGAGGCTGGACAAGATCTGCAGCAAAAAGCTTTGCAAATGAAGGGAAGGCCTGAAGCACCAAAGCCTCCCCTCCATTTGCAAAGCTTTTTGCCATATTTGGAAAAACTCTTTGCTAATGAGAATAGAGGCCAGGAGGGGCACTGCATCCCTCTGGGCCTCCTTTCAGCAAAGGCCTCTGCCGATGAGAGCAAAAGCCTGGAGGGATGCGCACACACTCGAGGCTCTGTTTTCTTGGCAAAGTGCTTGAGGAGGCAGCTATCACTTGTCAGGCCCTGTTAATGGCAAGAGAATCACAGGTTAAGTGGACAGAAGTGTATGAATGCATTACATTCAACAGATGTGCTTGTGAGGCACAAGAGGATGAAAGTCAAGAATTCTCTCTATATGTGGTGGAGCAAGAAACAAGGATGCAGTAGGACTGAGTATAAATTCTAGGTTGGTTTCTTACACCCAGAGACTATGGCTACTCTTCAAATATTACAATAAAGATTTAGTTCTGCTCTGTCCAAGTCTCTGGGGCTTTGTAACTAATTTGTAAATGTGCTGGGAATCTTTGACTGACTGAAACACATTAAATTTAGTTTGATGTCAGAATTGAATAACTGCTTAGGAAAAAGTGTAAAATAAAATGGTAAGGTTTCAGTGGAAGGATGGACTACAGTACAAGCATCAAGGTAAAGCCACAATAATCTCATAGGAACAAATGCTGGTAACTTATTGAATGCACAACTCAGGTGAGAAATAGGCAAGTCAGATTTGGGTAACTTCGAGGGAATAATAGAATTAGAGCTAAATTTTACTTTTATATGTCTGGAAATGCAAAGTTCATGTTGGAGATTAATTATAAATGATTAGCCTTTTGATTACAGTAACCATTGACCCTTGATGGTGCAGTGGTTAGAATGTAGTATTGCAGGCTACTTCTGCTGACTGCTGGCTGCCAGCAGTTTGGCAGTTCGATTCTCACTGGCTCAAGGTTAACTCAGCCTTGCATCCTTCCAAGGTCGGTAAAATGAGGACCCAGATTGTTGGGGGCAATAAGCTGACTCTGTAAACTGTTTAGAGAGGACCGTAAAGCACTGTGAAGCAGTATATAAGTCTAAGTGCTATCGCTATTATTTAATAGCTATTGCTATTATCTTGGATATCATTTTCTTTGGATATTTTCTGTTATAGGATTCCACCAACGATTTCTATCATATCAGGAAACCGCAACTCCACTGGCAGGATGACATAGTAAGAAATGTTTGGCATATAAAGTGCTATATAAACAGTTTGGCATAAGCAGTTTTATTACATTTGGGGAGCTGGATAATGTAAGAGTGGAGATAAATCTTTGATCCAAACCATCCTTGTGGATTGGCACTGCTGGATAAACTTGAAGGACCTACTTTGTACTTTCCCTAGGAATAGATCACATGGGCTAGTTCCAGATAAATTCACATACCACCTTTCTGCCTAAAAGGAGAAAGCATAAATAAATCAGAGACAGGGAAGGACCTTCATCCATACATTGTGGACTGGAAGCATTATTCTGGTGAATTAGATGAGCCCTACAACAAGTTGAAGCTTTCTACCTGGATGATCTGTAAATCCTGGAAACATCACATGACCAATTTGTCTTCTTGACTCATCAGATGTGGGTAATCAGATGTTACTCCACAGGGCTCAAGCTCTCTTTTTCTGATGAATTCCATTAGGATAAAATTAGTTACATAGTGCTTCCTTGTGATCAGTGTGACTGAGACCATCCATAATTGAATGAACATGGCAGTATCCAAAAGTATAGACTTATTTCCCCCCCCCCCAAAAAAAGTCAGCCTATGAACTTTATTTTATAAAGTAGATTTATTTCCAGGGTGTATGTAGTGGTCATGCTGAAAGTTGTAGACTTTGCAACTCATGAGAGCTTATACTTATACTCACGAAGTTATACTGAATTGTGTAATTTCACCTACCTATTGATTTGCATATTGTGTAAGATACAGTCAAAACCAAAACAGAAAGAACTCAAAACAGTTTTGTTCACTTTTTTTCTGATTTTTTTCTTACTTTTTTTTCCTTATCCAGAACTGGGGACACAAAGAAGACATTCTCTGTGTTGCTCAGTGTCCCCCTAATCTCCTTGCAACATCCAGTTATGATGGTGAAATTATTGTTTGGAATATGGTCTCAGGTCACATAGACCATAGATTCTGTATTCCAATAACCACAACTGCCTCTGTTCATTCTCAAAGTAAGTTCATTAATCAAAAAAAAGACTGCAGGATATAATTCTCACATTGCAATGAATAATTCTTTATGAATCATTGCATATGGAATTGCATAGAAATGGAAAATAAGGGGAAAATTCACACTTGAAGCCTAAACCATGTTGAGTAGCCTTGAGATAGTTAAAACAACTCAATGTCTCACCACACTAGGAAGAATTCGTAAGCCCATTAATTTTGTTGATGTTATTTTAATATATACGTCACCACCTGATTTCCAGATGGGTGGGCAGGAAATGATCTTCTATTTGGTGTAAGCCCTAAAACTGTTTAATTAATGTATCTCAGTCATGTGTTCAACACAGCTCTTTTGACTAACATTAGAAATAGATTTCTGCTGGAACTTGGTCTAAAGGTTACATTTTTGAAATAAGAACTTGAAAATAAGTTCTCTATTCCTTTATTTCATTCAGATGAGGTTTTATCTGTTGTAGCACGATCTTAGGGCATGGCTTACACAATTAAGAAGGGTAAGTCACATTCACTATCAAAATAGCAGGCAATAGATCAAGGGGATTAAAGCGATGAACCTCTCAAAAAAGTTAGATCCAAAAAAAGTCTCCTCCAAATATAAATTCAGATAAAATTAAATTAAGTCTATTTGCAGCAGATATATATACATTTACAAATGTAGTCATAAAAGGTATATAACATTCCCAGAGCAGAGGGTATCTTATTTACTTATGGTAAAAGAGGTTGAGAATTTAGTTATAGAAATTAAAATTTAACTTTAATAATATAGATATTTGACTGCATTCACATATTGTGCTAAGCCTTGGTTAGTTTAATTATGGCTTAATTGGCAAACTATAAATGTCTGGATGCAAAGTCAAGCCAAACAAATTTCATAATAACATATTAGGATGAATGCAGTTGGGGTATGCCTTTTGTACAGTGTACTGAAAAACTCACATTTTCTTACAGTGATTATATATATTTTTTCCTTCCCCACCAGTTGATGTGACACGGATAATTTTTCTAAAGACTCGTGCTGTGAAATTTGATTCAACTACTGCATCTCTGGTTTCCAATGGGCCACCAGGTAGAATTAATGAATGATATAAATAATTAACAAAACAACCATGGTAATAATTAATTGATGATCCCAATTTGAAGATAACTTCTATTTCAATTTTTTTTGCTTATGTTTTTACAGACTAGATAAGGAAATGATACTTCGGTGTCAGGAACCTTGTTTCCAGTTATCACACCATTATCAATCATGCCAAAAACATGGAAAAATAAAGTAATGCGATTAGAAGTTGTAGAGAGGGACCTAGCAATCTTAAGCTTTATATAGTCAAATCTACACTTACTGTGGTTTTTATAAATTTGCCTTCAGGTTATTCAGTTACAGTTAGTACAAAGGTATACTTGTCTAAATGCTATCAAATATTTATTTATTTATTTCATTTTATTTATATGCCGCCCAATCCCAAAGGACTCAGGGCGGCATATTTCATATTGTGTCTTTATGATTTTTTCTCCCAGGTTATCTGCATTTCTGGAGTCTGTTTTCAGAGGATTCACTAATAGCAAGTTTTCAACCAGTAAGTTTAATCAGTAAAATTAATGGCTGTAAGAAAAAAAGCCAGTGTGCTATAGATTAAAGCTAGAAACTTGGAGACTATGAGTTCTAGATTAGCTAACTTTGGGCCAGTCACTTTCTCTTAGCCCGCCCCTAGAAAGAACGCAATGCCAACATCTTTCCAAAAACCTTTTGCAAAAACTGCAGGGACTTGTCCAGACAGCTGCCAGGAGTCAAGTCAATCATAATCATAATAATATACTAATTCCAGTTTAAATATCTGGCTGATAGTGTGACAAATCATAAACAGATCTTCAGCATGAATACTGGTAGCATCTGAAATATATCAAAAACATTCTCTAATTTGCAGTCCTTTATTGCACTGATTGCAGCTTGAGATCATCATCGTACGAAGTACTCATTCTTTACACTGCATTCTGTTAAACCATTATGAGTGCAAGATTGCCTTGTGGTATAAACCAGAGATAGACACTACAATATGGATGATATTGGAGTTGCTTAAAGTATTCAGTCCCTTTGAAATTTAATGTGAGCAGATGATAGCTGATGAGAAATTCCTGGACTCACATGCAAATCAGAATCTCATTCGTTGAAATTTATACCTCTCCTTATACTGTATAGTCATGCAGTTTTCAAAATAGTGTGTAAACAATATTTTACAGTGTACCATTGTATACTCCAGTCTAGGGGAAAATCCCTGATCAGCAGTATTGCTGTGACTGCAGATGATTCGTATATATATGCAGCTGATGAAGATGGTTATGTGTATGTCCATGACATCCAAAATTATGCCTTTCAGGATACAAAAGAAGAAACACCAAAATGTATGTGTACAGCTTTTTATCTAGAACTGGAAGAATTAATTTAAAAAAATAAATACAGAGTGCATTATTTTTTAAAAAGGTGAATTGGTCCAGATACCACTCACACAGTGGTATTCCTACACTGTATGGTTTAAACAGGCAATATTCTTCAGAAAAGGCTGGTGAAATAATCACTTAAAATGTAAAATCAAGAGCTTTGATTATTTCTACATACAATACTCCTATTTAATAATTGCAATAGAAAAAAACGACAGAGAAAATATTATATTTATAAAAACTATAAAAGGCAAGTTTGGGTGGGAGTGTTTAAGTGACCATTCTGCCCTGTAGCCTCTCTTTCAAAGATGGGGTTCTACATATTTCTCTGACTCTGCATGACACCCTCCTACAATCATTACTCCACTCAGTTGTTTCTTAATATGGCATATGTTGCTCAACTAATGCTTTGTGTAAATTATGCATGTTCCCAAAGAAAAGAAACCTAGTCTTTTTTATTTTAGAAGATAAAGAAGACAATACTGCCTGTATTTTGAATAGATCTGAATTTGGAATTTCCCTGAAAGCTAAAACACAGGAAAAAAGAGTTAGTTTATTTTCTTTCAGTCTTTGTTATGGAATTATTTTTGTGTCAGCTTCAAGCCTGAAGCAAACTTTGTATGGTAGGTGTTGATGGGGGCAAGGGAAAGTAGGTGTTATACAGACCGGAAGAATATTGGAGCCCACAAAATTTCCATTGATTTTTTTCCCCTGTTCTGAATGCTAGTGAGTATACACTATGGAAGTTTTAACAGGAGCAGAGTGAGATGTTCCAAAATTACATTCCCCCTATAACCTCATGCTCCAATCCTGGACTCAGATATTTTCAGAGACTACAATCCTAAAGTCTCGAATCTTTTATGTTTAAATGTAAGAATTTAATATTTATGCTATAGTATTTTTCTCTATTAATATAATTCTGAACAGTCCATGAATAAACTGATACTTTTCTTTTTTGTTGCTTCAGATGTGAACCATTGGCGAGCTCATTTAGGTCTGGTTCTAACGTAAGTATGGTTTTAACCATTACAAAAGAATAATTTGTGCTTATATAGTAGGTCTGATTATTTTTTTTCAACCCACAGGTTAGAAGTTATAGATGAAGATAATATCCTTTTATCCTGTTCTATTGACTGTACAATTCGTTTGTGGAGTCTGAATGGAGAGTACATTGGTAAATCAATGTTTGTAAAGCATGAGGATAATGAGATACCTTAAATGTTAGTAAACATTTAGAAGAAGGGAAATTGGATAGTTGTAATAACAGAATTGACTTAAATATATGTCTTTCTGTATCATTATAATGCAATGGAATACCATGACACAATTTTATTGCCTGACTTTGTGGCACTTTAAATAAATCATCATGTAAGAGTTTTATCAGAAAAATGAGAATGATTCACAATATAAGATAAAATTTAGTATATTAGATGTAGTGGAGCTCTTAATAATGGTAAAGAAATTCTTATAATGGTAAAGTATCTGTGAATCTAACTATTTGTATATTAGCTTCCATATTTTTTTTATCCTGCACCTCTTTCTCCCACTAATGGATAATTAACTTTTTTTGTTCCTTTTTCAGCATTGTATTTTGCAGATACCTATCCTGTTTTACTGTCTTGTCTGATTCTTCATATTTGCTAGCTTCAGCATTGCAGTATATTTCCTTCTCTTCATAGGAACCTTTGGCCAGGAAGAACCTTGGGAAATTTTTAACACATCCTCCTGGAAACATCCCATGGTCCCTTATGAGATTTTGATAGATCCACAGAGTATGCCCATACATCCGATGCTGGAAGACACTTCCTCTGACATGCAGATCATTAGTCAAGATGAGAATAAAAATCCTTCCAAGGTTTTATTATGTTAACTATAAGCTTACTCAGACTGGGCTTTGGTGCAGCTTGCAGAAAAAGTTTAAATTATATTGGGATGGAGTATGGTTAGTGTGGCAGACTTCCTGTCACAGAATAACCAGATCAATTTGTAATTTATTTGGTTCTTAAATTCACTCCTTTGTGTCCTTCCTAACAATATACCTCTTACTCTAGTGCAGTGGTTCTCAACCTTTTTAATGCCGCGACCCCAACCGGTCGTAAGTTGAGGACTACTCAACTGGTGCAGCACCGTTTGCAGAATGGGACTTTTGGCGGGCTCAGCAGGGCAGAGACAGCCTGGACAATTCCTATTGGCTTTTGAAAGCCAATAGAATTAGACTCTATTCAAGAGTCTATTCTATTGGCTTTCAAAAGCCAATAGAATAAAAGGGAGTAGCACAGCTAAGGTAAAGGGGGAAAAAATGGCGGACTGCGTTGTTTGGCGACCCCCGTGAAATGGTTGTTCGACCCCAAATGGGGTCCCGACCCACAGGTTGAGAACCACTGCTCTAGTGTCTACTTCACACTTACAGGGCTGGGATACCATATTACTCCCTCAATATGAAACCTACTTGTTAGGTAGACCTATAGGATTTTATTATTAGACTGAGTTCAACTTCAATTTCAAGTTTCAATTTCTAGTAAATCTTTGTAGTGTATGTTGAAAGAAGCCACTTTGGGAATAATAGCAATGTTTCTTCCAGTCTTAATAAGATAAATGATTAACAAAGTTATAGCTTGTAAATCATGCTTGAAAACAATAATAGAACTCACAATCGTGCAATCATCTACATATACAATGACACATGACTGTTGCAGTATCCTCATGGTCACATGATCAAAATTCGGTTGTTTGACAACTGGTTCATATTTATGATGGGTGCAGTGTCCTGGGGTCATGTGATCAACTTTTGCAACCTGGCAAGCAAAGTCAATGGGGAAGCCAGATTCACTTAACAACTATGTTACTAACTTAACAACTGCAGTGATTCACTTAACAACTATGACAAGAAAGGTCATAAAACGGGGCAGAATTCAATTAACTGTCTCACTTAGCAACAGAAATTTTGGGATCAATTGTGGTTGTAAGTTGAGGATTACCTATATATTCAATAGGTGTTAAATGTAACCTTTCAGCAGCATATGAGAAATCATAAAATTCTCCTGTGAGGACAAGAAACTAATCCTGATAAGATACCACAAGTATCCTGCTGAAACAACTACCTGTGCATATTTTTCTAACTATGTATATAAATAGAACCTAGGGATCAGTATAACTATATAGCAATTAGAAAATTAGAATGTTTTCTATCCTTGTTTTAGTCTTTTGCCATCTGACATAATTTGCTGAACAGCTTTTCAAGAGCTCTTTAATGCATGTTATGATAGCAGCAATTCTGATTGCTATGACAATGCTAACATCAGCTGTCTTTATACTTTCACCAGAAAACTACCTGTAACTCACACTCCTCACAAATTACTGTTACTGATGAGGACATTGAAGAAGAAATTAACAAGAGGCTTTACTCACAAGCGTCAAGCAGACGGTAAGAAGTTGAGGTTGGCAAGTGAATGGATGCATTTTCAAAGTATTGTTTTTCTACCTGCAATTTCCTTTTCTTTTTTTTTAAGGATGAAGCATGAGAGATCCAAGCTTTCAAATAGATGGATTAAACACAAGGGACCAAGCATTTATCATGCCATCGACTATTATGAAATTGACAATTTCCAAGGAAACTGTGAGAAACCTGACCTGTCTGTCCTTGGGGTAGACATATTCAGTGCTAGTTATCAAGGAGCAACGGAGCAGTAATATACCAAAACACATCAGTAACTTGTTAATCTTATAACTGACATTTACATAATTGAAAATTTTTTCCATTAAACCTAATATATGGTATTAGTTTGCAGACTTGGTTCACACATGCTAAGCCATGGTTTACTTGTTTTACTGAATTAATCAGTTGGTGGGGCTCACATTTAATGAAAGATAACCATAGTTTTCCAAACCATTGATACAGATTGTAACACACAGTACTAGGCTAGAGTGTAGAGACTAAAACTAAAGAAGTTTTATTTGACAGTACTTAGCTGCAAGGGGCAGAAGGACAACATAATATGCTAAAATGTATTTCTTTGGTGGGTAGATATTTAAAAGTTGTGTTAAACGTACTCTACAAATACACTGGTGTTTGGGCTGCTAATCTCAAAATGATGTAAATTGAATCTCAGCAGTGGGGAAAGCAAAATAAGGTTTTAGGAAGCTACATATGACAAAGGGACCAAGCTACCCACCGACTATAAATCATGGCATACAGATAATGCTGACTAGATTATCAGAAATCAAAGTAAGACAAATCATGTTAAGATTTAGATGGCAGCGTGAACCTATAGGTGCCCATTCTTTCTTCAAACTATTTCAAACTGTAGGAGTGAAGAACCAAGACTTTCCAAATGCTGTTGGAATCCAAAGTTCTTGTCAACTTAAGATTGGTTTTAACCTGATCTTGAAAGTTTTAATCCTTGTTTTCTATTTATTGTAAGTCACCAAGAATCGCTTTGATTGTGACAGGGTAAGGATTTTTTTAAAATAAACACTACCTACCGTATATGCCGGCGTATAAGACGACTTCCGGAAGCGCTAAACTCGGCGCCAAAGACGGGGGTCATCTTATACGCCGAGTCGTCTTATACACCGGAAATACTGGTAGTTTCCGGCGTATAAGACGACGTTCTAGGAAGGCGACTCGGCGATAAAGACGGGGGTCGTCTTATACGCCGGGTCACCTAATACGCTGGCATATACGGTAAATGTGATAAAAATAAAGAAATAAAAAATATTGTGGTTATCTGGATGTTTGAAGACTACCTTCACACCCTAATGTGGCATTGGCCTCCTGCTCCAGTGGTTGCATTTTTCTTCCATTAGATTTTATCAATCATATATTACATAGACATATTCTGAATCAAATAGCTGAAATTATCATCTGAACTATCCATAAAATGTGGAACTTGGCCTTATTTTCTGTTGATTGCTCTACTTCACTTTTTTTGCATTGTTGCTTATTGTGCAGTACTCAAACACTCACCTTTATTCTATTCCCCTGGTTCAAACTACAGTCCTTGCCTATCTATTCAGCTTCTTATTCTTAATTCTTTTTTTCCTCAAACTACCATAGTAAAATTCTTAATGGACCTTTAACATTTTGGATTCAGTAGACAAAATTTATGTGCCACTGCACATAGATACAATCCTACTCCTAATTTATTACATATAAAATGCATAAAAGGTCATGTGCAAAATCCCAAATTTAAGACCTCTGCTTTAACGGACACCTTTTCCCCACCGGCACATTAAAGCAAAGGTCTTGTGTTTTGTCGCTATCACCATAATTTTTAATCCAGTTCTTTATTAATGACCTGCTCACACTATCAATTCTTGCACTTTCTGCTGTGTTTTCATAAAAGATCCATAAAGTAACTCTTTCAAAAAACATCCAGTTTTTAAGCTTTCATTTTAGCTGAAATGAAGCTACCAACCTCTGCTTACATTTTTTTTTGTCCACCATTTACTACAGTTGAAATTTGGAGATTAGTAAACTTATTCAAGAACAGTTGTATGAGATGACAGTTCAGTCTTGAAGAATATCTTTTTATTGGTCAATTCGTAAGAACAGAGTTTTCTTTTCACACTGCCCTCAAATCTGGCAATAGTTAGTTTGATCTGGCTATGCCTGTTTCAGCACAGCATGTACATAGAGTGGAAAAACCAGGATGGGGACTACCTGTGATCCATAGGGATTCATATTCATCTTATCAAAAACCTTAGGAGAATCTAAGGATTTGCATTTGGGAATTGGGTCATGAGAACAGAATGGTGGTAGCTTGTATACTTTCCCTCTCACTATAAGCAAACTCTCAATGTGAAATGATAAGGACAATCTTGCTGTAGTGCTGGAGAGTCAAGAAATTGAGACCGAAGCTTGAGCTGGAGTTTGAAGGAAAAATACTTAATTTTGGTTGAATTTTAAGTGAGACTTGTAAAAATATTATGTCCTACTAACTGTTGGCTTCCAAGACAAAGGTATGAAACTGAATAGGACAAACAAACAAAGCCAACATTTTAAGAATCATAACCATTTCAATGAACTTTATTAAAGCTCACTAAAGGCATCACAGGAACCGACAACAAAACCCATGTATTACCTTCATCTGGTTTTCCACACACGAAAGTGAAATGTAAGCAATTGTGCATGCTGCTTCACATACTTGTTCTCTTCTTCTAGCAAATGTTTCTAACAATGATAGAAATAACTTTTTAAAGCTCGGCTTTCATTTTGTTTTTGACTGAATGCCTTTCCAATGGAAGAAACATAACAAAATTGGAGACAAAAGGAAAACTACCTTGGCATCTACAAAAGCTCTAAGTGCACTCATTTCAAAGGAGCAGTGCCTTTTGCAACAATTTCAAGATTTTTTAGCCTTAATTGATACAAAGGGTTAAATTCCTGCACAGAAGATTTTAGTCAGTGTTCACAATTCCACAGGAATCTGAAAGTTACCAAGGCAATTTTCTTTTTAAAATTATCATGATTTCCACTTCTAGCTTGTCAATATATTCATTCCCACATAATACAACAGAATTCCAAAATATAAATAACTCCCCAAACATATCTTCCCTAATATCACATAATACATTTTCCCACAATGAAATTGCTTATTGAAATGCAACAGCCTAGTCCAAGTCCATGCTAACTGGGCTTTCATTCACGTGGCAATCACCATTTTGTTGTGTGGTCTCAATATTTTTTATTTCTTCTTCTAATTCTTCGGTTTTGTTAATGAAAGGTGTATCTGGTGGCTCTTCCTGTTTAGGAGAATCTACTTGTGGCTTTGGCTGGTTAACGATAGGCTCACACAAACTGTGTATTTCCTACAAGAGAGAAACATTACAAGAGTGACATAATACAACTCCTGTTGTGAGTCCAAAAAGCAAACATTTTGCTTTTATTAGGTTTGAATTAGATATGATGACTCTGAAAGTAAGGCCAAATTTATTTGCAGTACTAGTATGTTTACTAAGACAGGGCTTTTCAACCAGTGGTACAGGTATCACCTGTGGTACATTGGCACCTGGCAGGTGGTATGCGACCATCCTAGAAAAGTGGTAGCGGGGGAGGGAAATGAGCTGAACCAGTGGCAGCACCGCACAAGCCTGAGCAAGAGACGGCTGGAGCTGCAGGGCTGTCAGGGCTCAGCGGAAGCACCAGGATCAGCGCCAGGCTCCAGCTGGAGCTCAGCACTGATCCTGGTGCTTCTGCTGAGCCCAGAAGACGCGCCGATCAGCTGGAATGTTGCAGCATCTCCAGGGTCTTATGATTTACATTCAGATGCTTGGTAACTGATTCATATTTATGGCGGTCACAGTGTCCCAGGGTCATGTGAAGTGACCAAAACCTGCTGCAGCCACCCAGCAGATGGGGGGGTGGGGGGAATAAAAACCAAACACCACCCCACCCCCGCTGCCAATCCTCAACAGAAATGCTCACAATAATGAAAACCTCGGACAAGAGGAAGAGCGCTGCCGGGTGGGCAGGCAGGTGTCTTGCTCGGCTGTGGCTTGGGGGGCACTTTTTCAGTGCCACTGTAACTTCGAACAGTCACTAAGCAAACTGTTGTAAGTCGAGGATTACCTATATCACTTTTTTCCTTTTTTTTTTTGGTCATCAAGTTTTTGACACCTTGCTAGGCAACTGGTGGTACTCGGATACTGCCATATCCTAAAAGTGGTACAATGGGTGAAAAAGTTGAAAAGCCCTGTACTAAGAAATGCAGGAGCCCCACAATTCTCAGTAATTGAAAAAATTACAATACATAAATATAGAAATTTAATAAATAAATAATAATACCAAACATTACTGATTTTTATCTTGCTCAATTTTTTTCCCTCATTTTGGCATGCAATAGTTATATAAGAAATGATGAGAGACAATGGAACTATTTAATTCTATGCAATACCGTTACATTTGTTATGATACAGATCTACATTTGTTATGCTGTTTCTTTTTTTTTTTACTCAGATCAGATTTAAATTAGATGTGACCAGAAAAATGAATCATAAGAAACACATGTCATTACAAGGAATTTAAATCTGCATCGTAATTAAAACTTACCCTCAGCTTTCCTTTGATTTCATTTACACGAATAATAGGATCCTGATCAAGACTTCGTTTAGCTTGGATATTTATAATGTTGGTTAGCCATTCTGTTGCATCACTGATACACTTCTCTACTTTATTCATTTCACTTTCGTCAATATGAATATATTTCTCATCCTGAAACAGAAATGCAGTGTATTAGTTATTGCTCTAAGCATTTTTTCACAGCTATCTCAAGCTTTAAGTATCAGCACTAGTATTCTTGTTCACCAATTAAGGACTATCTTGTTTGCCAATAATATTTATTTATTAAACAAATTTATATAGCTGCCCAACTCACACACAGTAACTCCAGGCACTACCCCCCATCACACCCCATAGCAGTAATAGAATCAGACAAGTCACTTGATCAGCTCCAAGTGAGGCTCCCAAACCCACTGACAAAACCATGTCTTCAAGGCATTGTGGAAAAATAAGGTGGGCACCAATCTTATCCCTGAAAGAATGACGTTCCAATGGCGGGAGTCATACAAGAAGGTCCTTTTTTTGAGGTCACATCTGATATACTTCCTTGATAATTGGGTCCTGCAATATGTCCTGCCTTCTGTTCTAGTGGGCCAGATATTGGGGAGAGGTGGTTCATCAAATAACCAGGTCACAAGCCATTTAGGGCTTTAAAGGTGATAATCAGTACCTTGAATTGCACCCAGAAGCAAACTGGCAACCAAGTGCAGCTTTCACAAGA